TAGAAAAGAGTTGATCATTTACCTCAACATAAAGCTCAATGATTTTTGGTTCTTTTGACACTGATAAAACACAAGATGCTCCATCATCTGAGCATGGACTGTAGTATATCTTATTCTTGAGACATCCAAGTACATCCCAATCAAGGTCAGGCAAGCTTGACCTCACTTCTCATTGGGATGGTTAATTTTATTTGCCAATTTGATTGGGGCACAGTGTGCCCAGATTTTGGTCAAACATTATGGGGTTTCTGTGAGCATGTTTTTTACTTGTGGTGCTGCAGATGAACCCAGGGCCTTATACATGACAGGCAGGCACTCTACTGCTAAACTATATCCCTACTAACATTTAATGGGTAGACTAATCAAAGAGATGGCCTTTTTTCATGTGGATGGGCCTCATCCAATCAGTTGAAGGTCTTATAGACCTAGAGGCTGACATCCCACCCATGCCCTTTGACCTCCAATAAGAGAATTCTCCTGTTCAAAGGCTTTTCATGGGATTCAGTGGCTCTTCCTGCCTGATACTTCAAATTGCTAAATTGCCTTTTCTGATTCTATAGCAGCTTCAGGTGCTTAGATTCAAACTGGGATGTTGGCTCTGTAGATTTTGGATTTGCCAGTTTCCATTATTACACAAGCTGGCGGGTGGAGTGGCTCAAGTGATAGAGCACCTGTCTAGTAAGCATAATGCCCTGAGTTCAAACCCCAGTACTGTCAAAAAAGGAAACAAACCATAATCATAAGAGCCAATGATTTATAATAAATAATAAATTATAACATTTTTATTGGTTCTGTTTCTCTGTAGAACTCTTATATACTCTCCTTTATATAGCTAATAATTCATTTTCATGAACAATTAACTTTTTAAAAATTACAACTGGGAGTTCTGTAAAAAGTTTTTGCATGTCCAGATCCTTTAAAAAATGGTCTGGATTTAAGAAATAAAATATAAGTAAATATCAAGTAAAATAAGATCAAGATTGCTGCTGGAATGTACTTGTTTCATAAAAGGAACACTGACAGACCATTGTGAAAATGCAATCATTTCCTTATACAAAGGACAACTATCAAGATGAAACATGTCTTTTAAATAATAAACTTCTCAGAAGAATCAACACTCTTTTGAAATCTGAAAATGGAAACACTACTTTAAAACACAAATACAATGGAGACTGGGAGTACAGTTCAGTGGTGCCCAAAGCCTTGGGTTTAATCCACAGCACTGAACAAAAACGAAAACCAAATGCAGTAAGAAAAAGAGAAACTTTAATGGCTTAAGCAAAAGGTTTATGTTCACCATCATCATGGACTACATTCATCGTGTTTTATTTTTTCATTTCCTTGGTCTTTTATAGATCTTTTATTTTTTGGGGTCTCGCATGTTTATCCAGTTGGGCACGGACAGTGATCCTCTTACTCAAACTTCCTGCATAGCTGGGATGACAGGTATGTGCCACCATGCTCAGCTTTGTTGTTAACTTTTTGTCCCAGCTGGCCTTGAACATCGATTCTTCCAATCTCTACTTCATGAGTAGCTGGGATTACAGGTGTGAGGACACCTTGCCCAGTCCTATGATCCTGTCTACTATCTTTTGCCTTAAAGTTGACTTACCATTTTTTTAAATTATTGACTTAAAATATTAACTATTATTAAGATATACAACTAAATCCCCTTCTTTCTTGCTCTAATTTCCTGCTTTGACATGTCTGTGTATTATGAAATTTAAGACCTAGATTAACTAGTTGAAGCCAGGTGCCGGTGGCTCGTGCCTGTAATTTTAGCTACTTGGGAGGCAGAGATTGGGAGGATTGAGGTTTGAGGCCAGCCCAGGCAAACAGTTTATGAGATCCCATCTTCAACACAACCACAGCAAAATGCACTGGAGGTGTGGCTCAAGATGTAGAGCTCCTGCTTTGCAAGTATAAAGCCCTGAGTTCAAACCCCAGGCTCCTCCCCCACAAAAAGACCCAGGTTAACTACTTAAATGTAATTCAGAGCTGGGGAATTGGGCAAAATCAATGGTTTTCCAAATAATGCTATTAGAGTCTTTTGAAGAAGAAAATAATGAATTATTTGTTCTCCCAGCTATTATCATGCAGTAGTCAAGCAATTCCTGCAATATGACCCAAAAACCTTGGGAATTTAGTTAGCCTCAATAAACGAGAACATGTTTTTAAAAGGTACATTTATTCTCTGTCATCTCAATTGGTTCTATTGCTTTTCATTAGCAATTCAATTTATAATTTATGCTTTATACTGTGCTAAGTGATTTGGCTTTATTTTTCTATTATGATACATTGTTAAGATTTCTGTCCTCCCTTTTTTTTTTTTAAACAAATTAACTATAAATGCTGCTGAGCAGTTCTAGATAGTCCAATAAAGCACAGTAAAGGAGTTTGTGCTTAGCTACACATTAAGAGGAAGATTATGGAAAAACACCCATGAGTTTTAAAAATAGTTGTGTCATATAAGATTGTACTGAGTTAATGTAAGTTAAAGGATATATATGAGCCAATGTTACTGAGTAAACTTAAGCCTTATCAATATCCAGGGTTTCTCTACTGCAAATAAGACTACCCCATATTATGATCCCATTATATTTGGGGGAAATTCTGATAGCTACTTATAATTTTTTTCAGATTCCTACAAAATTGTTTTCTTTATAAATTTGTTCTTCAAAACCAATAGGAAAGCACAAGTTTTGGAGACTAGTTTTGGGCCTTGTAGTTCCTATGTCTATAGAGAGGAATATTTCAGTTCACATGTGAACTCTGAGTCAGAAGATCTGAAGTCTCAGTTTTAGTTGTGAGATCCTGAACCAGTGATTTAGTGTTTTAGCCACACAGGGCTCCCGAGAGCATTCAGTGGGATGATGTACATTGTGATAGTTTAGAGCAGCTATGTCCCATAGAAATATAACACGAGCCACATTTGTGAGCCATATCTTTATTTTTTAATTATTTTTTTGGGGGGCACTGGGGTATGAATTCAAATGAGCCACGTCTTTAAATCTTTTCTGGTACCTGTACTTAAAAAAGGAAAAAGAATCAAATGAAATTAATCAAAATATTTATATTTAACCTAATGTGTAAAGATATCATTTCAGCATGTAACCATGCAAAAATTACAGAGATATTTGACATTCTTTTTTTTAATTCTTGTAGTGCTGGGGATTAAACCCCGGACCTTGAGCATGCTAGGCACCACTAAGGTATATCACATGTTCCCTTTTTGTACTAAATTTTCTGAATTCCAGTGTGTATTTTACATTACAACACACCTCAAAAGAGAACTAGCCACATTTCAAGTGTTCAATAGTCATATATGGCTAATGGCTTCCTAAATGGATAGCATAGGTGCAGATCTGCATTAATTTGTTTGCACAACTAGTTGATCACTTAGCTGGCAAAGCAGAAGGGATCTAACCTAAGCTGTTGAAATTGTTGTTTAAGACTCTAGGGAATTAAGTTTTTCCTAAAGTAAGCACCATTTTGTTTGGAATGTTGAATTAAACATTGAAATGTAAAGAAAAAGACTCCCATCAGCATTCTAAATATAACCAATAATATTAGCAACTAAATCTAGCATTTGGGTAAAGTGGCTTCATATGTCTGGGAAATGGCAGTTCTCTTAGGGTCTCAGTAAGCTTTTAATCAAGGTAACCTCTAGATTCTACATCTTTGGTTTGCATTTTCATGGAAGACATTTTTCTATCCTAGCTTTTAGTTCTGGAAAGAAATAACACTATGTACTTTGCTTTATGTTCTTAGTAAAGACTACCTGAAATTTTATTCATATACATACACACACATTTTTTTTTTTAAAGTGATGGAGCCATACCTGACCCATTTTGGCTCTATGGAGATCACTAGACAGTTTTAGTATTCTTCGTCAGTGATCCCTATCACAGGGATGAGCAAACAGATTGTGGAAGTTTGAATTTCTATTTCAGACTTCCAAACAAGTCAATGATTACTTACCACCAGTTATCACAATTCTTACCATTTTGGAATTCTTACCAGTTTTCCAATCGATGGATTGTTTGGATTTAGATTATATATACCTCACAAAGCTAGAAACATATCTATATCTATATCTATATCTATATCTATATCTGTATACACATATCCATATGTACAGATACATGTATATAGTTCAGTGCCTTGTACATTTTGAAGTGTCAAGAAGAAATTCGGTGACAGATGAGCATGCACGACATCCTGGTCTACGGCTGGGAAAGCATTTCTGAAAGGCGACGCTGTGTGCACACTTAGGTATTTCCCTGCCTCTAAGAATGATACTCCCACGAAAAATCAGGAAGTGGGAAAGCAGACTTGTAGAGGTATCTGTGGTAGCTGTAAAAAAATGCTGGACTCCGGTGAACCCAAATGTGCTATGCTCAAGTCTGAGAACTTTATACTGTTTTGTTAAAGGCTTAATCTAATCATTAATAAGTCTCCCTATTTTTTCAAATTGAAATGAAGTTGTATTCTCAGCATTAGGCGCTCAATGAATAGTTGCAGGATTAGTCGATCACCGAATTAAGTCTTCCAGAACTCTTATCACACCAGTCGAATACAAAAAGCCAAAATATATAATCTCTTAAAACTAGAAGTCCACTTGACAAAAAAATGTCGTGTACTGTACGTACGACATTTTGTCCTTCCTGTGTTTACAAGTGGAGGCTGATCTTCCGCTGGCAAAGGTCAAGAGCAAAAGCTCCGCGGTCAGAAACCAAGTCCCGAGAGCAGGGTAGGAGGGTAAGGTCAAAGGGCACAGACCTTGCAGCCAAGCACAAATCCTTGGCGGCCTGGCCCAAATACCCCACAGCCGTCGCCGACTGCGCAGGCGCAGGAAGGGGCGGGGTCGAGGAGGAAGGAGAGCGGCAATTCGCCGGATTCCGGAGGCTCCGCCCCTCGTCTTGCGCCAGCATATCACGTGGTCGTATGGGAGTGGGCAAGCGGAGTTAGCCAGTTTTTACTTTGCCAGTTAGGGTCACTTCAGCGACTGTGGGGGTCAACCCGCGTTCTCGGTGCGCCTTGTGCAAGGGGCCGCTGCCACGGCTGCCTACATTCGCTACGAAGATTGGGCGTTTCCACCCAGTGAGTATGAGAAAGGTGGCAGGAGGTGGTCCTCAGGCGCTCCAGGTACAGCTCCTAGATTACCCGCTCTCGCCTCTGCCAGCCAGAAGCAGAAGACTCCTTTGACAGCCGCGGAGCGCTGGCGGGGATTGGGACGAAGTGGTTTGCGGAGCGTTCCTGGGGACCGCGGCCGGGAGGGAAGCGAGGAGAAGGCCTGCCCTTTTGGCGGGGTCGGTTTTGGCGCGCTCTCGCGTTCGCGCTCCCTATTGGTTGGAGGCGCCGCCCGGAGGCCACGCCGCGGTTGGTGGACTGGACTCTGGCCTCGGGACGAGCGGGCGGGTACTGGGCGGTGCGCGCGGCCTGGGAGAGCGCTCAGCTCGGGTCCGCCGGCCGCGGACGTCCGTCCTCTTGCTGTTTCAGTAACCCGCAGTGATCTGGAGGGGTCGGTAAATTGGGCTACTGGGTCAAGGTCGCAGAACCCTGCGTCTCCCATTAAAATGACGCCAGTGTTGGTGGCACTGGTTTCTCTCCACTATCAGCGCATCCTTTGGACTCTATGAGTTTTGCATATAGGTGTTTAAAAAGCGCTAGAGGATAAAAAGGAAATGAGGGTTCAAGGTTGCTAGCAAAGGAGTGTGGTAAACGTGAAGGATTAAACTTAATAAAGTGACTCTCAACTTACAACTTCGAACTTGCAAAGCAGGCGCTCTACTGCTTGAGCCACACCTCCTGTCCATTTTGCGCCGGTTATTTTGGAGATGAGGGTTTCGAAGTGTTTGGCAGGGCTGGCCTCAAACTGCGATCTTCCTGTTCTCAGCCTCCCAAGTAGCTAGGATTAGAACCATTGGTGGGTGCCTGGCTGAACTTTTAAAATACTAAAGCACATTTTACATGGTTACTTAGGACACAGCCATGTAGCTAAGAAGTTTCAAGAAGTACTTTTACTTCTTTTCATTTCCATTCTGTTGGGTTACAATTTTCTAAGCAACGTTACTCATGACCTACCAAATGATTTCAGAATCCTGGGCCACGATCTGCATTTCAAAGTTTGAAAACCATTGCACTGAGTAAAGGCATGGCCATAGTAATCAGGGAGATCAATTAAAGGAGCACTGACATGACTGGGATTCAGATGTTCAATCTGGATTGAATATTGTCCAGTAGTCTAGTTAACCACGTTGCTTTTCTCTGTATCTTCTGCTTCCTTGTTTGTTAATTCCTCAGTTTGCGTTGGTGGTTAAACCATTCCCTGTAAAGGTAAATGCTTAATCTCATTTGACAATACTAAATCACTATTAAGTTATTGCCAAGTTTATTGTAGTTATGTCTGCCTTTGAAACAGCAAAGTTACAATGCTGTTCTTTTTTTTTGTTAAAGTACTGGGGATTGAACGCAGGGTCTTGCATGTGCTAGGCAAGTGCTCTACCATTGGGCTACCTCTCCTGCTTTCTTGAGACAGGATTTTCCTGTGAATCCCAGACTGGCCTTCAACATGAGATTTTCCTGCCTCTGCCTCCCACATGGTAGAATTACAGGTGTGCTTCACCGTGTCTGGCAGGGTGCTGTTCTTTAGAATAGACTTTGGCACACCCAAGTATCTGTGTTTTGCTTTCCTGGTGCCCATTTCTCAGTTCTCTGAGAGCTCTAATCTAGGGCAGTGTCCTGTTCTACTAGATAGTAGTTCTACCATACAGTAACATGATTGTGATTTAGAATACTTTATCAACAACAAAAAAATTCTGAACTCCACCTTTAGGTGCAAGCCATATTCTGTTCTTAAACTACTAATCTTTTGTACTTCTCCAGCTGTATAATGAATCCCAGTATGAAGCAGAAACAAGAAGAAATCCAAGAGAATATAAAGGTATGTGATAGAATAACTTTAATGTGTTTTAGAAAGCAAGTGGCTAAATGTTTTTGGTTTTGTTTATTTTTTTATTTAAGAGACAGGGCCTCACTATGTTGCCCAGCTGGCCTTAAACCTTTGGGCTGAAGCTAGCCTCCTGCTACAGTCTTGTGGTAGTGGGACTATCAGTGTGAATGGTATTTTTGACATAATTTAGGAAAATTTAAGATGGCTATATTTCTATGAATCTTGAGTTACTGAATTTTTAGATATCCTAAGTTTTTTTTTTAAATGCAGTTTAAATGGAATTGTTTCCTTACTTTCATTCTTGCTTTGGCTATTGTTACTGTGTTACAGTATTTTTTGCATCTTGATCTTATGTCCTATAAAACTTAGTAGTTCTAGGATATTCTGTATACAGGAATATTATTGTTTTGTGTACACTCTTAAATTTCATGAAGTGATTGACTTTATTTAAATTCTTTGTGGCTATGTGTTGTGACACATACCTATAATCCCAGCACTTGAAAAGCTGAGGCAGGAGGGTAATGAGTTACAGGCCAGTTTGGGCTATATAGTGAACATGTCTCAAAAAAAATTCAAAAACCCAGTCTAATGTTTACTAGCTAAAGTAGAACCATCTTAGAGAAAAAGGGACCTGGATTCTTTTTGAGAGCGCTATTAGTTAGTTCTCAGCTTTAGTTTACCTATCCCTAAACTGAGGAAATTGTATTAGAACTAGATTTTTAAGAGTGAATTTTGATTTTGGGTCCATGGATTCCTTACCAGTAGTATGCAAAATTTTATGTAAGTGTACTGCTTTGTACATTTTTTGGGGAGAGGGGTGATAATATCAAATTGTTTCATAAATAGATTGACTCATAAGTACACAAATGAAGCTTTCTAGCTCTACAAGTCTATTCCAATGCACAATCTGTATACATAATAATAATGTAAAGTGTAAAGTTTACATGTATAAAAGTTAAATGGTATTTTTTTGTGTGGGATAGTAACTTAGCCAGCTTCTTTGACTGTTAGTAACATCAAGCATTTAAATAAATTAACATCTCCTATTACAAAGGCTTCAAAATTACATTTTCTACTATTTGGAGACTGTTGACTAACCTAGAATCTAAATTATATGTGAAATGTTGTTGTAATATTTGCTCTCACAGAAGTTGGCATTTGTCCTTCAGTTAAATAGTGATAATAATCAGCAGTAGAAACTTTACCGTGGGAAAGGTGAACTTTGTCATGTGAAGTACAGTGTAGAATCAGTAACTTTCTCACGCTGCTATGGTATCATGTTCTTGCTAACCTTGTTTGAGCATTCACCATTGTTTGCTATCCCATGGTGGCAGTATAACTAATGATTTTTTTTTTTTTTTTGCAAAAATAGAGCTTTTAGAGCAGGAAATATACAGGGGGGTATTTACATATCATAAGGAAGACAATGTTTTTTCCAAAACAATAGCTTGGGCATTTTAGAGTGTTTTAGCAGTTTTCTAATCAATAGGCTTGAAGCAAAACTGCTTGAACAATCAGGTAAGGGTTGAAGTAGGTTGTCTATTACACATGTACTTGACTTCACATGCAGCATGTTCTTAAAAATTATATTCCTTTTGTGACTACAAATGTGCTTGGGAATATTCCCTATTTAAAGGTCTGAGGTGAATCCTTTTGATGAGGGGAAGAACTGTTTTGTGGTGTGAATAATTAACCTTTCCCCCCAATTTGCCTCTTTCCTGAGTTCATACCATAAAGGTTATAATGTTTAGTTTTATTAAAGTAGAGTGCTTATAAGTTTCTAGTTTAGAAGATCTTTTTAAAAGGAGAATACAGATAGTCTTACTGGAATTTTATTATATATTATTTGAACTATTAAGAACTTAGGAATTGTGTTATATGTTTAATTAGATATGATAGTTGACAAAATGATTATAGCAAGAGCATGTATTGACATGAGAAGAAGAGTTATTTGTATCTAGTTTGGGTGATAACTATTAAAAATTTCTTCAAACTTTATTATAAACTTGGAATATAAATTTGCTTATTGGTTAACCAGTGTCTGGTTCAGATGTAGCATTATAAAATTATATAGCAGATCCAAATATTAATGTTCTAGTGATTTTTTTTTTAATTACAATAGGATTAAGCTTAACTGTATAGAAACTCAGTAACTAAGTAACTATATGTATCTCAGTAATCTGATAAAGAGTTATCTTGACTTTTAGACTAGTCCAGTTCCAAGAAGAACTCTGAAGATGATTCAGCCCTCTGCCGCTGGATCTCTTGTTGGAAGAGAAAATGAGGTATGTATAATAGAGCTAGAATGGGTAACAGATAGTACCACCTCCGTTAAAAACATTAAAACATTTTCAAGGATTTCTTACTTTGAAACACCTAAATTGTTGAAATGTAGAAATAATGTAAATTAGTAATGACATATTTCCCAAAGATGGGGTTTTAGTTTGTTTTCATTTTTCTTGTGGGTTTAGTTTCAACTTTTCAATTTAGGAAGTTCAAGATTGCTATGAATATCCATAGTAGAGCTGGAATGATGTAATAAGTTATGAATAATTACCTTAGAGGAGTGATATTTGATATTTTGAGAATAAATTATTAGATTCTTTTATTTACTCCTGTGTGTAAATGAAAAAAATCATGATGAGCCTGTCTAGGCTTTGCTGAATTCTGAGAATGCCACCTTTCCATGGTACTGAATTTAAGTAAGACATTTAAACAGAGTAAAAATAGTTTTAGCTAAGTCTCAGACCAACTCAAATCCAAAATAGCTGTTGCAAATAAAATTTCTAAAATGGCACTACAGCTTTTGGTAGAAAATTTCTAAAGATGTCAAAAGATGTATGTGTTTTCTTTCTTCGATATATGACAAAACCACTAGCTTTCTCATTCAGTAAATCAAGTAATTGTTTCCATTATAGGTGCCTAAAGGCTTGTCCAAAAGGAAACATTGGAATGACCAGTTAACACCCAAGACTTCCAGCTCTGGAGTTATTACTGTCCCTGAATCTAGTGAAAATAAAAATCCTGGAGGAATCACCCAAGAAGCATTTGATCTTATGATTAAAGGTATGAAAATATAACACAGCCTTTTCTTAGATTTTTAAATTATATATGGTAAATATTATTGTTAATACTACCTACAGCCTCTTTTCTTTTGGTACTGGGGTTTGAACATAGGGCCTTCACCTTGTCCTACTTCTATGATGGGTTTTTTTGAGATAGGGTCCCTTGAACTATTTGCCCCAGCTAGCTTCGAACTGTGATGCTTCTGATCTCTGCCTCTTGAGTAGCTACGATTATAGGTGAGAGCCATTGACACCCAGCTACCTACAGTCTCTTAGTCTGGGAAAAATATTAGATATTTTACTTGTATGGTTTTGATAAAATATATCAAATTTACGATTGTAAATATGCAAGCACTCTAAATTTAGACATGTGACCATTTGACAAGATCCAAATGTTGACCAAATATCAAGTAAGCAAATATTAAGTAATGATTAATATGGTGTCTCTGATAGTAAATTGCTTTAGGGTTTACCAGACTTGAAAGTAGGCTTTTCAAAAGAAAAATATATAGAGAAAGAATATGAAGTAAACAATTTAAATATTCTAGAATATGAAGTAATGGAGCCAGTAGGAATGTATTGAGCAAAATGGGAAGTATTACTCTTACAATAAGTACCAGTTTTTAATGTAATGGTAGTGAAAATCAAAAGAGGAAACTAGTGATTTTTTTAAATTATTACAAAAGATTTTTACTTTTGTACTAATCGTAGATCTTTGGATGTTATCGCTGATAAGAAATTAAGCCCTAGAAAAGGACTTTCAAGATCACAGTGACATTTGGGTTTATTCTCAGTTGTCTGGAAGACAGTAAGGAAGAAATAAGTAGATATTAGGGTTTCATTAGGTAAAATTAGGAAAGATTGACTGGATAAAACTAAAGAAGCGCTTTAATAATGCTATAGAATCAACAACAGGATTTCTGATGCTTACATTTGATTAGTTAAAATTAATGAATAAGGATTGGTTAAAAAAATAAAACACTAAGTTTAAATTCTGAAACAGCTCAACTATATATTACATTGCTAATATAACCATAGACAAAATTTGATAATGTAACTTGACTATAAACCTTGACTATCCTTAGTGGGATATATTGTAAGAATTAAAAGAACTGCAAAGAAATCCTGAACTTTATTAAATTTGTTGTTGGCAGTGGCATTAGTGTTAGAATTTGAAAAGAAAATTGTGTGTATTTTAGAATTGAGCAAATAAATAATATGTTGAAGTTAGGAGGCAGGTACATAATACAGTGAGTGGAAATGCAAATATACAATAGAAAAGGAAGGGAAGAACTCTGTATTGAATAGTAATTGAAGGTATCAGTATAAATTGTTACTTGAAAAAAAAAAAGCTCTGTCAGCAAGAACCTGGAAACAAATGACTTCCAGTGTAAGGAGCACACTAAGCATCCATTTCTTAGTTTATAAACACTTCTGCACTGAAGCTCCTTGAAGAAATGGCTGATTCCAGGATGAGAACCAGGAATGTTAATGGAGTGATCCTGAAATATACTGTATCAGAAAATAAGGAAGTACTCAAAAACTCTTGGACATGTTAAACTCACACAGGAATTAGGTTGAATTGTGTCCTACTGACTAAATTTGCAAAAATCTGAACATTAAAATGAATAATGACAAGAATAATTATATTGAATAAAAAAAGGACATATGAATCTATAACAATTTTTTCCCATTTTTAATTAGCACATATTAATTCCACAATGTTGGGGGGCTTCATTGTGATATATCCATACATGTATATAATACACTTTGTTCATATTCACCCCCTCTATGATAATTTTCTTTAATTGGGGAGGGGAAGTTCTTTTTAAGGAATAGTGGCAAATGCTACATGTAGAAGTAATTGCATAAATAGTTAATAACTATTTTTCCTCCTCTGTAGGTATAATTTTAAGCAAGAAACATCAATGGAGTTAAAATTGGATAGAAAATGATTGAGGAGCAGGGCATTGACGGGCTTAAAAATTTTTATTCAATGGATTATTTATTAATTACTAAGAAAATTATCTATAAGGAACAACTCTGGTAGATGGCATCTTTGATCAAATTTAACATCTCCAGTAATGACAAATCAGCATGTGCTTCTGGTGATACATTGAGGATACAATACATTTGTGCAATATTCCTGCCAGTGAATGTTTAGCCTGAATCTGATTGTGGAAACGGAAATTAAAAATTAGGAACAAAGTAACTGATGTGCTAGACTTTTCAAAAATGTCAATATTAGGGCTAGGGATATAGGTCACTAAGTATATACTTAGCACCTGTAAGGGCCTGGGATCAGTCCCCAGCACAAAAATTAGAAAATACATAAATACACAAAACAAATGTTGCAGAAATCTTCAACAGTGGCTCAAGTGTTAGAATACTTATCTAGCAAATATGAGGCCAAGTTCAATCCTCAGTGCTTTTAAAAAGAAAAAAAAAATCTTCAACAATCTAGGCCATACATGTACTTCTGTTGGAGTTCTTTTTTCTTTTGATGGTTCTGGGTTTGAAGTTGGGATCTGTGCTTGCTAGGCAAGTGTTCTACCACTTGTTCCATGACCTAGCCCTGGAATTCTTACGAAGGGTCAAAAATCTTTGACTTCAACTGGGAAAAATAAGAGAAATTAGATCATAATTTTTTTCAATAGAAAAATTACTGGATCTTTGAAAGCAGTGACTTTTTTTTTTTGTTTAAAGAAAGTTTTTAAAGGTTTTTTTTTTTGAGACGGGGTTTTTCTATGTAGCCCAGGTTGACCTGGAACTTACTATGTAGCCCAGGCTGGCATTGAACTTGATCCTCCTGCCTCAACCTTGTGAATACTGGGATTACAGGCATGTACACCATCACACCAGGGTCATAGTAATGATTTTTAAAGATACATGTGAAACAATTTATTTCAGAAACTCCATCCTCTCAGTATTGGAAAGAAGTGGCAGAAAAACGGAGGAAAGCTCTCTATGAAGCTCTTAAGGAAAATGAGAAAGTATGTATTGAGTATAATTAAAATATATATTCCAGCACTGTTACTTCTGTTGCATAACATATTTAGTTTGACCAGTATTAATTAGCTTTAATGTTGGCCTAAGAAAAGTTTGACTGAAAGGTGACTTACCAAAATTATCATACAGAATGAATCCTGTTGTGTTGAGTCAACTTTATGCCACATGTGACTATCAGTTATGAATGTGGAGGAATATAATTTGGTTTAGATCATAGCAAATCTACGGAATACTGAACTTTATTTATATTATTATATAGCTTCATAAAGAAATTGAACATCAGGACAATGAAATTGCCCGCTTGAAAAAGGAGAATAAAGAATTGGCAGAAATAGCAGAACATGTACAGCACATGGCAAATATTATAGAGGTAAGTAATGTAATATTTGCCTGATTGAGAATCACCTGTTTTTCTATAAAGTTGAAGCAGTAGTGTGATTAGCAAGTAGTGGTCAGGCTCTGTAATCAGATTTCCTGGGTTTGAGTCTTAGCGCCCTGCCTACACCGCTAAGTTTCTTGAATAGAATAGATTATTTATCCTGCCAGGGCTTCATTTTCCTCACCTATAAAATGGGAGTAATAATGCCTACTTCTGAAAAAGATATGAGAAATTACTACATTTCATAGTTGACACAATTTTAGGTAGCTTTCACTTGAATTTTACACCAGCATGATATTAGCTATCATTTATAAAATTGTTAGTTGGCACACTAAAAAAGTTTGTTGGCTTTTTCTGACTTTTTAAAGTTTGTAAGTTGCTAATGTGTCTACAGGAATTAGTTCAGTTACTGACTTGACCAGGCTTGACTTAAAATAGGTTTTAAGACTTCATGTGTGTGAAGCAAAAACATCCATCTTACTGAAGGGAAGAAAGTTGCTACCCCAACCCCACCTTAGTAGGCAGTCATGCTAACACCTGAGCCATGCTTCCAGTCCTCTTTTGCTTTTTGGATAGGGTCCCCAGGGCTGGCCTCAAACCTTGATCCTTCCATTTACGCACCTTCCACATAACTGGGATCACAGCTGCACACCCCATGCCCAGCTTATTGATTGAGATGGGGTCTTCATAACTTTTGGCCTGGCCTGTTCTCAAACTGTGATTCTGCTGATCTCCACCTCCCAAGTAGCTAAGATTACAAGTAAGAGTCTGACTGACAAGAAAGCTTTTTAAATAAAACTTCTCATATGTTGAATTGCAGCCTTACATTTTAGAGCCATGACAGAATAGTTTGAAGTTTTATTTTGAAGTACTGTAGTAGCTCCCTTAATTGCCTAAAAAAATATTGTTCCAAAGCTGGTTAGAAATTAAGAACATCTAGTAAGTTCTTCACTTCTTTGTGCTAGAGAAATATCAATTTAGGTTGTGCTTTGAATGTAGTTCAATGCTTTAAAATATTAGCAAATCATTAAACACTGACTTGGCTGAAATACGACTGTCATGTGGTACAGACTTTAATATAACACTTCCTGTTTGTCAGGGCAAGATGAAAAGAATCCGTTAAAACATTAAGGGCCAGCTAAAAGCATACAGATGATGGACTTGAGTTTTAAAATTTTGACAGTAAATTTTTTTCTGGTTTATTCTTTAAAGAGACTGAGTAATGAACCTCTGGATAACTTTGAATCACCGGATGGTCAGGAATTTGATTCTGAAGAGGAAACTGGTGAGGATTCTGAAGTGGAAGACTCAGAAACTGGCACATGTGCTGAAGAAACTGTATCTTCCTCTACGGATGCAAAACATGTATATGAAATTAACATTTGACTCTTGAGAAACATACTGCCAAGGTTTACCTCCGCTATAGTTCTTTACAGCAGAGTAAATAACTACATAATGCAAATGCTGGAATCAAACTTCCTTGTTTGAATCCTGGGACCCTGTTATTGTATAAAATACACATAGTATGTATTTTTAATGTGTTATTTTATGTAAATAGCCATTTTCGTTTTCACAGTTGTAAGACATGATGTGTATATGATAAATAAACTTCGATTTCCTGTTTAAAATGGAAGCAATTATTAATAGAAGTTTCTTAAATGTTGGGAATATCTCGCTATGTAGTATGGTAGTCATTAACTACTGAGCACTTGAAATGTTAACATGAATGAAAAAAAATTTAATTTAGATTTAAGTGATTATACAAGGCTAATGGCTACTGTGTAAGACACTATGGCTCCATGTGTTTAGATTAAAGATAGCATTAAAGAATAAATTAATTTTTTAAAATGAAAGAAAAAATATTCTGAGCTAGGGAAAGTGGAGGTGCATCAGCTGAGAAGCTATTAGAAGGAAGAGGAGACGTAAGAATAGGATGATTTGGCAAATGCGAAGTGTTTCTGAAAAAGTAAAAAATGAGTTGTCAGAATTTGGTAGTGAGGCGCAAAAGAGAGGGAATTGAAGATAATTTTTAAAGTAATTTAAGAGCAATCACCCTGTACTAGTGTCAACTCAAAATGGATCAGGGACCTAAATATCAGACCTGAAACTCTGAAGTTACTACGGAAGGAGCAGGAAACGCTGTGGAACTAATAGGTATAGGCAAAGACTTCCTCAATAGAACCCCAGCAGCCCAGCAACTAAGAGAAATGGACAAATGGGACTTCATAAAATTAAAAAGCTTCTGTGCAACAAAAGAAATGGTCTCTAAACACAGTGGGAGAAAATATTTGCCACCTATATATCAGACAAGGGACTGATAACCAGAATATACAGGGAACTTAAGAAACTAAACTCCTAAAATTAATGAACCAATTAAAAAATGGGCAACTGAACTTAATAGAACTTTCTCAGAAGAAATCCAAATGGCAAAAAAACATGAAAAAATGCTCACCATCTCTAGCCATAAAGGAAATGCAAATCAAAACCACACTAAGATTCCACCTCACCCCTGTTAGAATAGCTATCATCAAAAACACCACCAACAACTTGTGTTGGTGAGGATGTGGGGGAAAAAGGAACCCTAATCCACTGCTGGTGGGAATTCAGGCTGGTACAACTACTCTGGAAAAAAATTTGGAGACTGCTTAAAGACCTAAACATAGACGAGCTATATGACCCAGCAATCCAACTCCTGGGGATATACCGAAAGGAATACAACACAGGTTACTCCAGAGGCACCTGCACACCCATGTTTATTGTGGCACTATTCACAATAGCCAAGTTATGGAAACAACCAAGATGCCCCACTACTGATGAATGGATCAAGAAAATGTGGTACTTGTACACAATGGAATTTTACTCAGCCATGAAGAAGAATGAAATCTTATCATTTGCAGGTAAATGGATGGAACTGAAGACCATCATTCTGAGTGAGGTCAGCCAAGCTCAGAAGACCAAAAATTGTATGTTCTCCCTCATATGTGGACTTTAGATCTAGGGCAAATGCAGCAATGTGGTTAGACTTGGATCACATGATAAGGGGAGAGCATATTTCAGTGATACAGAAATATGTAGAAAACCCAAAACATGAAAGCATTTGATGTCCCCACTCCAGAGGAACTAATACAGAAACCTTAAAGCAACAGAGGTTATCATGAGAAGGGGATTAGTAACTAGGGTAAAGATCAATTAGGGATGAATCAACATGGATCATAACACATGTACACGAAAGCAATGCTAGGAAAATCTCTGTATAGCTATCCTCAACTCAACTAGCAAAAACGCTTTGTCTTCCTTATGCTTGTCTCTTTTCTTCAACAAAACTAATGATAAAGGCAGAACACGACCTGCCTGGAACTGAGAGGGTAAGGGGGGAGAGGGTGGGAGAGGGAGACGGAGGGAGAAGTGACCCAAATAATGTATGCACATGTGAATTGAAAAAAAAAAAGTAATGTAAGAGCAAAAACTAAAATTTCTAGAGGAAAATTGGTGATTTTTAGGTTTGGCAAAGATTTCTCAACTAGGACACAAAAAGCACAAACTATATCAAATAGACTTCATAAAAATTAGAAACTTCTCTTTTAAAGCCTTGCAAAGGAAAATTGGTGCTGTTTTCTGAAATGACTTTCATATTGATATAAGATTCACAGTTCCCTAAGATATGATTGGTGTACTACTATTGGTGTTTTTTTTTTTTTTTTTGGTGGCACTGGGGTTTGAACTCAGGGCCTCACACTTCATAGGCAGGCGCTCTTACTGCTTGAGCCAGTTTGTCAGCCTCATGTTGCCACTGCTGGGAAGGGTTAATTGATTGACAGTGTCTATAAATAGACTACACCATAGGCAAGATATCCTGCCAAAAGAAATTGAAGTGTTACCAGAAAAAAATAAGGTTCTAGTAAACCAAAAAGTAGCAAATGTCCACCATACTGTCTTAGGATGCTTTCAGCTTGGTTAGAAAACTACTTCAAGACATCTCAGTTGACTTTCAAGTTTTACCTAGTAGATCATAGGCAACCAAAAAAGAATTAGATATTCCTTTATACATATCTGAGCTCCTGGGGCCTATGAATTGGGCTAACAGGTGTGTGTTATGTTTACCAGATCGTTTCGCCAGCAGAATTAAAAACTGCATTTACCTACAGTAAAGCAGCTTTCTTGATAACATCTTTTCCTGGCATCCTTTCCTCTTCTATTGTTAGTTCCCCAGGTCACTTCCCAATAACTCCTTGCACCTGAATCATTATCTCCAAGTTGCTTCTGGGAAAACCCAAATGCTAGGGCCCAAACCTGAATCTTTTATTCACCTCCTTCAACTTAAAGGGGTATCAGACACCAAAAAGTAATTTAAATAGAGTATTATGGCTAGATTTCCTTACTCTAGATACAATGTTAACCCAAGGATCCTAAGCACAATCAGAAGAGGCCATCAGCATCTCTGGTTAAATATTTAATTGAACACAATCATTTTCTTTCCCTAAACCCCACTCAAAAGATAGTAAACCACAACAGACACAATCCCACACTCACAAAGCTATGGCCAATTTATGCAGAAAGTGTGACAATGCAGAGAACAGAATAAAACCTATTGCTAAGCAGTTCCATTTCTAGAAATTTATTCTATAGATAACTCTCAACGAGTGTGGAATGACATTTGAGGTTATTACACTATAGAACGGGTTATATAAATCACAGTCCAGTCATTGAAATACTCTATAAACCAGTAGGAAAGAATGAATAAGCTCTTTTAAGAGAAAGAACCAAATCCAAGATAATTTATTACTGTGTGTAGAATGCTATTACATGTTTTAAGAGACTAAGGGATATAGATATGTATATGTATGTAGTATAGATAGATTATGTCTGGAAACACTAGATTTTTTGGGGAAGGAATGGAGTTTGAACTCAGGGCTTTGCTCTTATAAAGTAGGTGGTGTACTGCTTGAACCACACCCTTAGTCCAATTTTGTTCTGGTTATTTTGGAGAGGCCCAGGCTGGCCTCGAACCTCAGTCCTTCAGATCTCAGCCTCCTGAGTAGCTAGGATTACAGGTGTGAGCCACCAGTGCCTCATTTTTGTATTTTTAATTGGTTGCATATAAGCTTTTTCATACACTTTCATGCAGTGGTAGAAATCTCCAGTAGCTGCAGCACTGCTATTTTCCATAGAATGGAGTGATTTTCCTGATTGGTGACTTGGGGAGAATAAACAATGTAATTGGCTCTGCTCTTCCCTTCTTGGGGAGTAAGGGCTTACATACCGCATGGATGCTATTCCTGCTCCTCTTGGTTCAGGGACAAACTCAAGTTGAAATTTATCAACTGAAGAATGAAGAGCAGTGGGCGAAAGTTCTCAGGAATTTTTTACTTCCCATTCAATCTCGGAAAAGTACTGGATATTTTCCAAGTACTAATGTAAGAATGAACCATAAAAGGCAAGAGAGAGTATAAATGAGGATAATGGAGGCACCTGGATATTGAAGGGAACCCCTAAAATATTTGCTAACTATTTGCTAATCCAGGCAGATCTGGATTGGAGCTAGAAGATTCTGGGCTCCCTGATGGTTGCCTGCTTCAAGAAGAAACTGGAGCTGACCATTGGTCATGTGTAATAGGATTGAGAGATGTTTCAAAACAAAACCAAGGAAAATGTGGGAACAACTTAGTGGTAATTATCCAGAAAGCAAAACAAACACAAAACCCTCCATGGAAAAGAGTTGTACAAGAAAGGAAATATAGTCACACTACACTATATGACCTAGCCACGAAAAATACTTAAGTAGTCATATTGTTTTAATCATTATTTGTGTCACAATTACTTTGAGAGAGAGGAGTAGAAAGACACGTGGACATGTGAGTATTGAATGCTAAGTCCTCATCTGCCCTATTAAGAAGTAAAAAGAAAAACACATAACATTGGTGAGAAAAAAGTAAAGAATTGGTAATGTGTGTGAATTGCTTAGAAATATAGAGGTAAATAGAGAAGAAATAATTGAAAAAATTCAAAAGGTGACCTTTGGAATATGAATGAGGAAGAGGTTAAAGGATGGCTATTTCTCTGTTGAGGTTTTGCATTACTTGACTTTTTAAACTGAAATTTTTAAACTTGAGAAAAATAAACATTGAAAAAGCATTTTAAAAAGTAATTCTTGGCAGCAACCCAGTCTCTAATTTATCGTATAAAATAATCTATTCCTATAAAATGGATTCCAGTTTGAGATATTGCATTAAATGACTCACAAAATCCACAAGGAACAAAAATATACAGTTGCTTAGCAGAACACAGCTTTTCTGAGCTCTAAGTTCTGAGAAAATTTCCCAGGAAATCCTCCCGAAAGGAACCCAGGTGACGATGAGATTAGCCTCCCTCACAACATTCCTCCAGTAAATAAGTGAGGATCATGAAAATATTTTTATGGCCCTCTTTGTGAAAGGTGGAAGTGCAGCACTAAAGCATAGCTCAGCTAAAGCACATCCGTGGGAGACTGAAGTGCATACTCCATGATGGCTGCAGTTTAAGCCAGAGGCGGAGGTTAGTGTAGCTAACATAACCTTCCGGCACTTTTTCATGATTTTTTTGTCTTCAGTTCTGGAGATCAAACCAGGGCCTTACACATGTTAGGCAAGTGTTCTTCTACCACTGAGCTATACTTCCAGTCAGGAATATTTTTTGTAATAAACTTTTTTTTTTTTTTCCAAAAAAGGTGCAAGCTGGCCTCAAACTTGAGATTCTCCTGCCCCATCCTCCCAAGTGCTGGGATGAGAGGCCTGGGCCACTACACCTGACTGTAATAAACTTGAAGAAGCTGATCAACACAAGCATTGAGTGCATGTGTTCTGTTACATATTCTCTAACAGACAAAATAGGGCAAGTGAAAATCTTTCCATGAAAACCTAAGTGCCTGGGCTGGGGGTGTGACTCAGTGGTGGAGGACTTGCCAACCATGCTCAAGACCCTGGGTTCAGTCTTAGGGTGGGAAAACAAAACAAAGCTAGGAGCCTAATTAAGTAGGCATTCCATTTCAATCCAGACCTATGCCAATGGAATTGAAGGCTGCTCCCAATGAATATTAATTCCCTTATACTTCTAGATATCCTTTGGTGCAGCAAAGTCATGCTCTGCCAGCAAAACCACCGAAGTCAAAATCATGGCAGCTGATTGGGTGTCGTGGCATATTTCTATAATCCCAGCAACTTGGGAGGTAGAGATCCATAGGGAAGATTATGGTTCAAGGCCAAGGTGGGCAAAAAGTTAGCCAGACCTCATCTAAACAAGCAAACTAGGTAGTGGTGCACACCTGTGGTCCCAGCTATGTGGGAGCAAAGCTATGTAGGAGATTTGCGGTTCAAGCCCATCCTGGGCAAAAAAATATGAGACTCTATCTGAAAAATAACTAATCAAAAAGGGCTGGGTTATGGCTCAAGTGGTAGAGCAAGTGGCAAGGTCTTGAAATCAAACCCCACTACCACTAAAACAAACAAAAAACCATGGCAACTGAAAGTCCTGTACTAGGGCTGAAAGGATGCTGGCAGGCAGCAGTGCCACTATAGGATGACTGTGGGTTGGGTAGATGTTAGTATTTCTGTGTTTCTTGGCATAATGTCACCTTATAACTTTTATTTTTTTGGTGGTATGGGGATCAAACTCAGGACCTCTCGTATCCTAGGCAAGTGTTCTACCACTGAGCTACATCCCCAACCCTAATGTCATCCAATAAGCTCCAAGCATGCCATCATTTATAACAGTCAGAGGCAAGGCTTCTCCCAATGAATTTCCATTTCATGATCCTAATTTTCCAGAGGTGTTTTTTACTTTAAAAAAATGTATTGTCAGAGAAGAATGTGGTATTGTGAGAACTCAGTGTATGTTTTTCTTTCCTTCCTTTTCTTTTTTATTGTGGTATTGGGCTTTGAACTCAGGGCCTCACACTTGCTAGGCCGGTGTTCTACCACTTGAGTTTCACCTCCAGCCCATTTTGCTTTTTCAGGTTATTTCTCAGGAAGGGACTTGTGTTTTGGCCTGGAGCTGGCCTTGGACCATGATCCTCCTACCTACGGCCTCCTGCATAACTGGGGTGACAGGTGCATACACCCACCCCCAACTTATTGATTGAGATGGGGTCTTGCTAACTTTTGCTTGGGCTGGCCTCAATCTTGATCCTCCTGATTTCTGCCTCCTGTGTAGCTTAGATTATAGGCATGAACCACATATCTACATCCCCCGCTTTTAAATTGTCATATATTTTTTAAGGAATTTATTTTGATGGGACAAATTTAAATTCAGGGCTTCAAGCTTAAATTGGTGTATATTAAATTGTACACAGTAAAGAGGTTTCATCATGACATTTCCATACATGTATGTACAGCATGTGTTTTTCCTTAATGAAGAATCAATAATGAAGTACATGTTTTAAAATCAGATTCAAATAGAGAGATATTAGAAAGTAAGAGTTTCATGATTTAATAGTAGAAAATGTAGATAAACAATCTCTCTGGGCAAAAAATACTATTCAGGCTCTACAATTTTACAACTATGCTTACTTCCCATTATATCTAATTGCATGCTTTAACTTTTTTATTTTATATAGACAGGATCTTGCTGTGTTGCCCAGGCTGGCTTTAAGTTTTCAATTCTCTTGTTTTAGACTCTTAAGTAGCTGGAATTATATGCCTGAACCACTGTAACTGGCTGCTTTAACATCTTCGTTTCCTAATGGGAGGGGATTACAGCCATGAATGAGTTCAAAGGACCCAATTTATGAGGTAATTTTTAAATAGCAATGTTTTTTAGAAGGTGTTGTTGAAGTTAATTATGAAAATTTGTTTTTATTCATTTTAAAAACATTTTTATTATCATATTATTGTTGTACTGGGAAGTACATTGTGATAATTACAGAAGTGCTTACCATATATCATAGTTAAATTCACCCCCTCCATCATTCACCTTTATGTCTCCTCCTCTCCTTCTTAGAATAGTTTTAACACGTCTTATTTTCCCATTTTCCTACATGAATGCCTAACAGTTCCACCATAATCACCCTCCTTTACCCTCTCCTTATATCCTCCCCCTCCCACTGGTACCAACCCCCCAGGCAGGACCTGTTTTACCTTCCAGTCCTTCATTTTTGAAAAAAAGTCATTTTTGTTTAAGATATACAAGGAGTTATTACATTATGACCTTTCCATGTATATATGCATTATATATTGGGAATTGTTTTATTCCCTTTATTTTTCTCTTTTCTACCTTAGTCCCCTTGAAAATTTATATAGAACTCAACTACAAAAGATGACATGAAAGAATAATACAATAACTTTTATTATTTCAGGTTTCCAAAGTAATACAATGACATGGACAGATGTGTCACATAACTGGATTCAAAGAAATTAATTCCTGTGAAAACCAATTAGGAAATACAACACTTCTGCAAAATTCTCAGGCCATCCGGACCAATTTTCTGCAGCCAAATTTTGCAAATGATATTTTAAAGTACTGCTCTCTTTAAGCTCCTTCATTAAAGATAAGTTACTGTATGCCATGAAAGAGAGGACGTAACAAGTCCAAAACCGAACGAGGAGGTTGCTGTGGATTTCACTTTTGATAGTAGACTCAAAATTGCTTTCAAAAAAACTGATGAGAATGGGGATAAACTGCATATGTTGAGCTCTTTTCTGGCTGACAGGGTCTAAGTAGCACCAACATGCTACACTCTGGAGCAGTAGGATCTTTATTTTTGGTGCCAAGTCTTGATTTTGCAGCAAATGAGCTACTTCTTTCATGTATTCAGCTGCGAATTTCCCAGCAGTTGGTCCTCCTGTAAAACATACATTTGCATTTCCACAAGAATTTGGTATATCTATTAGCTAGAACCATTTCTGAGACTCCTATGTATTCATATTCTTTATTTTTTTCAGGGGGAGGAGAAAATAATAAAACTGGAGCCCACCACATGGGGCAGGATTAAACCCAGGACCTTGGTATATCCTTAGCCCCTGTGTTCATGCTTTTGTTCCTATCTGCTGTGAAGATGAGAATGTTTAGGTTGATAAGCAAGAGGTAATATGAAATGCATGGGAAGGCCACTGCCTGACTAAGGCTCCTACCTCCTTGATTCCTTTGACCAAACACTGAGGAGCGAATATTTTGAATAAAACCTAGTTATGTTTGCTTAGCAAATCTCCCTCACAGTCTCTGTCTTCTATACTGGGGGGAAAAAAAGCGTGGCTCTCAGATTATTAGAACAAAGAGAAAACGAATGACCTCAGTACCAAAGTCAAGGTTTTCATGGTCTTTTTTGTTGTTTTTGCTGTCCTTTTCTCAGACATTTCTAGCTTTAATTCTTTCACATTGAGACTAATGTGACCTTATAAGATTTTCCTTCCCTTGACTACTGACCCATTCTGACCCTAGATTCTACTTTTGTCATATACCTGAACCTCGGCTCTTCCTCATTCAGTCTCAGACTCCAGCAAGGTACTGGCCAAGGAGAGGAGGAGTAGCTAATGTAGGTGATCAGATTCTGGTCACTCAATCTTGATCCTCCTTGGATTTCCCTAACTTTCCCTACACTAGTCTCATGGTCCTATGAATAGCCTAGTCATTCTTAAAGATTTAGCCAAAGCTGGACACAAGAAACTGAATATAGCTGTCCAGGTAACTGAGCCCGTCCGATGTGGTGGGTACCATTCATCCTTCCTTCATATGACATTGTCTCCTAAGTTTTCTTTCTATCTCTTCTTTAGCCCTTTGCAGGTTGTCCCAATTATTTCGGCACTAAGGACTCTTATTGTTCTCTGTCATAGACATCATTCTTTGTAAGATTTAGTCTAACAAAATACATCTAAGTAATTAATTTTCCCACTTAAAAAAATCAACTAAGACACTTCTAGTTGCCAGCCAGAACTTATTAGGAAATGTGATGTTGAGGACTATATAAAATTTCATTACACATCCTAGAATTTATTAGAAAAAAATGTGGAGGTGAACTAGATAATCATTACGGAAGTGTGAGTTTAAGACTGACTGACCACTTGATTTTCTTCTAGCCTAGTATACATTAATTGTTGTCTTTTACTAATGCACCTATGGCTTTCCCAGTCAATGTTTTAAGATCATCAAAAATTCTGATTGATTTTTCTAAGACATTTTCCATGTAATTCATTTTTATAAGGTAAAATGTAAAATATCAGGAACTTTTATTCTACAGTGGAATCATATCACTATATTGGAATTATATCAAGTCAGTTATAGACTTTAATCTTTTATATTAATGAAAATTTTTATTTTTATTTATTTACTGTTTTGAGATAGTCTTTCTCTATGTTGCCCCATCTGGTCTTGAACTCTTGGGCTCAAATAATTCTCCCACATCAGCCTACCAAGTAGCTGGGACTGTATCACTGTGCCTGGCTCTGAATGGAAACTTTGATAGACAAACTTATATAAAAATGAGAACATCTAATTAGTAATTTACTTGACACATTTTAAAACATGAGGTCCTTGAAGAGGAAAAATTATATCTTTAGTGATAGAAAGACATAAAACTAATAAATCAGGGAAAGGAAATATTATTGGAGTCTTAAGGCTAGAGCTAAGAAAATTCAGTGTTCTAACAAGCAAAAAGATAATGAAACAGCTACTATGGCAGAACTGGTGAAGCACTACCTGTGAAGGCCAGTAGCCCAATTTTCTGGGCAGCTTGAGCTCTCTTTTCAATGGGTAGAGAGGTGTTCTTCAGCTGATGGCCAAGTACCACGATTTTTTCTTTGTGAAAAATACTTTCAACTGTAGGGACAACTTCTTCCTCCTTCTCCTTATCAGCAAAATGACTCTCAACAAAGGCATCCCAGGATCTTCGGAGGCGATGACATTGTCTCACAAAATACTGCTGTATCCGAACCAAGATGCGCTTATAAGAAGGCTGGCTCTGAGTCATTGCACAAAAAGGCCAATGCTGCTTCAGGTATGCCACTGACAGTGATAACAGGTAACAGTCAAGAACTCTGGAACTCATTGCTTGGCAACACTGTAGAATGGAATAATAGGAGAAAGCAACATATGCCTACATTCCTCTGCTTGGCATCAAAGGCCTTCTAGGATTTGAACTAAACCAAATTCACTTGCATTTTTCTGGGACACGATACCACACTTTAATCTAGTTTCCCCTAACACACACGACTCATTCCTGTCTCAGCCCCTTGGCTTAAAGTAAGGCTTACTTAGAACTTGCCTGTTCTTCTCTGACTATTCCAACAAGTACTGGCTGCTTTCCATTGAACTGTTATGACCTATTTCATAAGCCCATTCTGCTTATTTGCTACATAATCAGAGTTCTTCTTTGCATCATAGATTTTCCCCATTTTGCTGAGAAAACAGAAGCAATCAAAGGAGAGCTTCTGTAACTCCCCATCTTATTCACCCACCCATCTGTATCTGTGACTCTGTACTCTGACTTTCCTCCTTATTGTGGATGCACTATTTGTGCAGATTTCAATCAACCTCTCCCACCTCACTCAAAGATATTGCGCTACAAAATTCTTCCCTTGTCTTAGTAAATTTTCCATCTCAACTGGATCCTTGAAATATCAATAAGCATACTGTAATTTTTTTCTCATTAAAAAAATAGAACTCCCAGAGCTGGTGTGGTGGTACATGCCTGTAAACCCAGACCTTGGGAGGCTGAGACAGGATGATCTCGAATTCACACCAGCCTGGAGCGAATAGCAAAACCCTGTCTCAAAAAAAAAAAGAAAGTACCTTTCTTGACTTCATATACTTCCTTGCCCCAGCTACTGCACATTCATTTCACTGCTCCTCTTGATAACACAAGTCTTCAAAGAGTTGCCACACTCACCTTGTCAAGTCTTTTTCCATTGTCTCTTGGATGAACTCCAGCTAGGATTTTAACTCCATGACTCCATTGAAATTGCCCATCAGGGTCTCTGAGGAAAATCTTTGTTCTGCTGAATCCAATTCTCAGTCCTCAGCATTTGGCACTCCTTTCTCCTCAAAACACAGTTTTAGCCTAGCTTGTAAGAAATTCTCTCTTGATTATTTCTTTTACTGGCTACTCTTCCATTTCCCTCCTCTGGTTTTCCCTCTTCTTTTTGACCTCTATTGAAGTGTCCCAAAGCTCAGTCCAGTATTTTTAGCTCCTCCTCCTCTTCCCTCCCTCTCTTTCTTCTCCTCTGTCTTCTTTTCTTATCTATACTTTCCAGATGACATAGCCACTGTCACGGAAGACTCCCAATCACATGTGGTTTGTTTGTTTATTTGTTTATTTTTAGACAAACACTATGTTGCCCAGGATGGTCTCAAACTCCTGGGCTCAAGTGATTCTCCCATCTCAGCCTCCCACGTAGCAGAGATTACAGGTGTGAAGCACTGTGCCAGACTCAATTTGATCTTATTTGGCGGTACTGGGGTTTGAACTCAGGGCTTCAAGCTTGCTAGGCAGACAATCTACCACTTGAGCCACACCTCCAGCACTCAATTTTATGTTTTTTCTTTTTAAAAAAATTTTTAATTTGAGGGAAGAGAGTGAACGCAGTCCCCACATATCACAAATTATGCAGTCAAGTTTCTCACATTTGGGGAAATCACGGGGTCAGCACATCTATAGTGCAATAGATGAGCCTCACCCTGGGAAAACCACCTTCGTGATCATGGTATCTCCCCTTCCAGGTAAGTAGTCAATTTTATATTTTTAACACAACTTCTTGCTTGAACTCCTGGCTTATATTCAATCACCAACCTGATTGACATCTGTATATCAAAAGCCTTCACAAACCTATCATGTCCAAGACAGAGGTCCTGTTTTTCTCCCTAAACCTGTTGCTTCTCAGTTTTTCTATTGTGGAAGATGGCATTCCATCCTTCTCATTATTTAGGTAAAAAATTTTGAATTCATCCTTGGCTTCTCTTTTCTAGCCCATTTTCAATTTACTATCTTATTAGTCTATGATAGAATTTACAAATTCTATTAGCTCTACTTTTAAAACATATCCCAAATTTGAGACATTACAAAAATGTCCTGATTATACACTTCAATTATATTAACATGTGAAAGTATTTAAAAACATTTAAAGAGTAGGGTTACTCTTCTGGATTAAAAGAATCTGAAGAGACACAACTAAATTAAACATGCAATCTGGGTGCCGCTAAGTGGCAAAGCACTTGCCTAGGAGGTGTGAGGCTCTTGGTTCTATCCAAGCATGAAAACAACCAATCAAACAAAAATATGTAATCCCTAATTGGACTGTGTACACATACATGTACTTACATGCTTCAAGGGCTATTACTAGGACAATCGAGAAGACACAGATCTGTGCTGTCCAGTAAGGTAGCCACTTGCTACATGTGGCTATTAAGTATCTGAAATATGACTAGGCTAAATTGAGAAACAATTGTGCGTATAAAATGCACACTGGATTTCAAAGATTTCATATAAAAATGGCTGTAAAATGTCTCATTAATTTTTATATTGATTACATTTTGAAATATTTTAGATATATTATGCTAAATAACATGTATTATTGAAATTAATCTCCTCTGTTCTTTTTAATTTTTTTTTTGGCTGTAGTGGGGTTTGAACTCAGGGCCACATGCTTGCTAAGCAGGTGCTCCATTTGAGCCACTCTGTCAGTCCTTGTTCCTTTTGGTTTTTTGTGTTTAAATGTAGTTACTAGAAAATTCAAAATATTACCATGGCCTCCTTTCAAGGCCTTTGTACTTGTTGCCTCTGCCTGGACTGTTCCTTCCAGAGATAATTTACATAGTTCACCCCTATTAGTTCCTCTGTTCATTCCTCAAATATCATTTTCTGTAAGACCTACTCTGATACTCTCTTCAAACTTGTGATTTTTTACTTCACCTCCTGCACCCAACCTTCTGTTTTGTTTTGGTTTTTGGTTTGTTTTTTTGGTGTTTGGGATGAAGCTAGGGCCTCAAGTTGTACAGTGCCATTGGGTAACGTCCCCAGGTCCCACTCAACATTTTACAGTTTTTATTCCTCTTCTCTGCCTGTTTGTCTCCCCTAACAGATAATAAACCCTGTGAGGGTGGAAATTTTATCTCTGTGGTTTTTTTCACTGTTGTATATTTAGTGCCAAGAACAGTACCTGGCGCATACATTGTTCATAGTATATGTGCACCAAATACTTGTTGGATAGATGAGAAATTAAGAGATCTGTTTGTGTTTTTTTCAAATACATATTGTTCCCTGCTTTTGTTGTTATGACAAAATACTGGAGATAAACAGTTTATAAGAAGGAAAAGATTATTTGTACTCAAGGTTTCAGAGATTTTAGTCTGTGATCAGCTTGCTCCCTTGCTTTGGGCCTGTGGAAAGGCAGAACATCATGGCAGGAACCATGTGCAAGAGAAAACTGCTGTCTCATGGCGGCCAGCAAGTAAAGAGAGAGAGGAAAGGGTCAGGTCCTTGTACCCCCTTCAGCCCATCACAAGTGATCTAACTTTCAACTAGGTCCCAGTTCTGAATGGTTTGACTACCTCCCTTAGCACCACAGTCTGGGTACTAATCTTTTATCACAGGAGCATTTGAAGAACATTTAAGATCCAAACCATAATATTCTATGCATGGTTACACAAAGGCTCATTTCCCTCTCATGATGCAAAATGCATTTACTCCATCTCCAAGAGTTCCCAAAGTCTTAACAGTTCCATTGCTCAAAAGTCCAAGTCCAGGGTTGGGGATGTAGCTTAGTGGTAAAGCACTTGCCTAGCATGTGCAAGGCCCTGGATTTGATCCCTGTCCAAAGTCTTCTCTGAGACTCAAGACAAACTCTTCCCTGTGAACCCCTATAAAAATTAAAAAAAAAAATACATACTTCCAAGATACATTCCCATTCCAACAGGGAGGAATAGGGGCATAAAAGGAGAGACTGGACCAAAGAAAGACCAAAACCCAGCAGGGCAAACATCAAATACTCTAATTCCATGTCTGGCATTCAGATCCCACACTGACATGATGTGTGCTCCAAAGGGCTTGGACAACACACTCAGATTGTCTTGCCAGCTGCAGCCCACGGGTCTCTCCTTTGGGCTGGCCTGCTCACTGCCTACAGCTTTCCTCAGCAGGCATTCCACAATCCTGGCACGACCAACTTCCAGGAGTTCCCGTTGCAGTTTTGGCTTCAGTCTCACAGCTTCATGCTGCTTGGGCAGCTTACAGGGACTCCAACCCTTTACTTACTGCCTGGCCTCCCAGACTTTCCTCTGAAATCTAAGTAGAAGCCTCCAAGACCCCATGGCTCTTATATTCTGCACACCTGTAAACCCAGCATCACATGGTTGATAGAAAGGTCTGCTACCAGCCTAAGTAGCAGCTAGGGCTGCTTGAACCATTGCTGCTGCAGTGTCCACTGAATGCCTGAATGACAGAGCATGGGGAAATGAATCTCAGAGAAATAATTCATTAGGTGACTGTGTGCGAGCAGGGTGCCCCAGAGCTCTTGTCTCAAAGGAAAATATACGACTTGAGTTTACATTTTCCCAACCTTGAGCCTGCCATGGATGGGGTCTTGACAATTTCTGAGATGCCCTCAAGATATCCTTCTTGTTGTTCTGGTACAAAGTACTGGCTTTTTTTATTTTATTTTTTTTCTTCATTTATTCATATGTGCATACATTGTTTGGGTCATTTCTCCTCCCAGCCCCCTGCCCCCTCCCTCTCCCCCTCCCCCTCACTTCCAGACAGAACCTGTTCTGCCCTTTTCTCCAATTTTGTTGAAGAGAAGACATAAGCAATAATAAGAAAGACATAGTGTTTTTGCTAGTTGAGATAAGGAAAGCTATACAAAGAGATTCCTAGTATTGCTTCCATGTACAAGTATATTACAACCTGAATGATTCATCTCTACTTGACCTCTTCACTACTTCCCGTTCACCTTCCATATTGACCTCTGTCATTTTAAGGTTATTGTGTTAGCTCCTCTGCAGTGGAGACATCAAACACTTTCAAGTTTTGGGTATCCTACCCATCCCCATTCCTCCCTTAGTGTGTGACCCAAGTCCAACAATGCTACTGCATTTGCCCTAGATCTAAAGTCTGCATGTGAGGGAGAACATATGATTTTTGGTTTTTTGAATTTTGCTTAGGATGATGTTCTCCAGTGACATCCATTTACTTGTGAATGATAAGATTTAATTCTTCTTCATGACTGAGTAATATTCCATGGTGTATAAATACCACATTTTCTTAATCCATTTATCAGTAGTGGGGCATTTGGCTATTTCCATAACTTGGCTATTGTGAATAGCACTGCAATAAACATGGGTGTGCAGGTGCCTCTGGAGTAACCTATGTTGCATTACTTTGGGTATACTGGCTCTTTTTAATGGTGCCAAGCCCTTTAGCAAGTCTATGCAACTTGGTCTTAACTTGAGACAGGCTCATTTTCTGGCCAAACTATAAGGTTTTCAAATCCATCCAATCTGCTTTTTGCCCCTGAATCTCAGTATAAATCAGGCTAAAAGCAGCCAGCAATACCCATGCCAAAGCCTGAATGCTATGCTGTCTGGAAAATTTCATCCTCCAGATTTATTAGTTCATTGCCTTTAAAGTCAGTCTTGGCATGGGCAAAATATAGACAAGTTCTTTGTCATAGTGAAACATGAAGGGCCTCTAGTTCAAATCTCAATAGAATCCTCATTCCCATCTGAAATTTCATGAGTATTCTTGTCTTAAACCCTTACCAGAACTTCCCATCAAGCTGTGCTTATAGCATTCTAGCTTTTCTCTAGTCTATTTGTTCAAATTCTTCCCTCAAACCAATTCTTACGGCATCTTAACCTCATCATCAGGTTATAATCACAGCAATAGCCTCACTTCTTGGTACCAATTTTCTGTGTTGGTCAGGTTTCCATCACTGTGACAAAATACATGATACAAATAACTTAAAAGGAGGGAAGATTTATCTTGGCTCATTGTTTTAAAGGTTTCAGCCTATGGTTGCTTGTCCCTGTTGCTTTGGGCCTGTGGCAAGGCAGAATATTATGGCAGTTAGCACATGGTATAGCAAGTTGCTCGTTTAAAGGTGACCAGGAGGTAAAGAGAGAGGAAGGGATCTCAATGTTCTCTTTAAGGACATACTTCCAGTGACCTAACTTCCTTAATCCAGGCTCCACCTCCTAAAGGTTTAAAAATCTCCCAATATTGCCATGGGCTGGATAAATACAAGTCTTTATTTAACACCTGGGCCTCTTTGGGATATTTAAGATCCAAACTATAGAACTGCACAAAGTGTACTTAGAACTTTCTCAAAATCAAAAGACAGTATTTAATAAGAGGTACTATCTCCAGGAAAATGTCAGGGTTACATATTTTTTCTCTTTGTATATTGTATTCTATTGTATATTTTTTCTATTTGTATAATTTGTTTTTCTGACATGGTTAGAGGTACTGGTGTTTTCTGAATTTAGGTTTCCAACTTTATAATTTTATAAAGTAACTAAAGCAATTCAGTTAAGCAATAAACGATGTGTACAAATTGTTTTTACTCAGTTAAAGCAGTAGTTTGTATTTAAGAGTCACTTAGTAAATATTTTCAGAGTTGAATGTAAGGACACTTTTGTGGTGCTGTTGCTGGTAGTCTGGGCTGCAAACACTCATAAATAAACTAGGGCTCCCTTTGCCTTCAAGGAGCTCACAGTCTTTCCTCATAGATACTGCAGCTCCCCAGTTAGCTTTACAACAGATCTAGGAAGATTTTGTTAAATCAAACTTTTGAGTTTAAGAGATCTCTGAAAAGAAAAGGTTTATTGAGCTGTATAGCTGCTGGCCGAAGATGAAGGATCACTCCTGGGACAAATTCCCTAAGCCACCAGCAGCATGACTAGATAGTAGTTGGAAAAATGTCTAACGGACCTAAGAGGATAAGATACTTTATAATAAGCTGTGGGAAGAAGAAACAAATTTTAAGTTTACATCCACCCTACATTGGCTACAGATGAGAAAGAACACCTCAGAGAGGGCAAAATCCGGGGATAGGACTTTAGTCCATAACAGAAGTTTTTGATACTTTTTGCTTGGTTGGTTTCAAAACTAGAATGCAAAGTGACCTTGATGGGCAATCTTCAGCTCACAAGAAAGGAATGTGGATTGATTCCTTAAGTTGATTAAGCTTAAAGATGTGATTAAAAATAGCCACCTCTTGTTGCTTTCCTTCCTCCGTTCTCTGGCTTGTAACTTGCTTTAGAACATCTTAGAATTCTTCTCTTAATCTACTATCCCCATTTCTAGATTAGATAAAATCAAATTGACAAAGAGGTGTAGTGTGCTGTGTAAATACCAACTTGAAAGAGCATGTGAAAAAAATACATCACACTACACATGAGACTAGTAATTTAAAAATAGTTTTTTATTTTAACTTACATGATTGAAAGAGTGATGAATACAAATGCCACAAAACTAAAAGCATCCCCCCAACCAAAAATAAAATGCAGATGTGAATACAAAAGATACGGAATTAACGTCTCATGCAATCTTAAAAAATTAAAACCCTAAAACAAAGCAAAGAACCTTGTAATATCTGTGATTTCACTTTCTATAAAAAGAAACATTTCAACCATTTAACGTGGACTATAGACTATAATACTAGCTATAGACTGTACAGTGTACCTTTAAAATGAGGAATATATGCTTCTGTGTAATATTTATAAATATACAAATATGTACATTATAACTTCACAGTTCAAAGAACTATTTTTCCAGAAGCCTGGCAGACAATTTTCACTTTAAAATTCTTTTTAAAAGTCTTGCTAAAATGTAAATATTGAAAATAACATCTAAGTGATATTTTATACAAACACATCCAGCAAACAGTTGATATTCCACACTTTATACTTGCACATATTGTTTTGATACCTTGGCATACCCCACCTTGCCTACTCTTTAGAAGAAGAAAAATCAGCTACTGAATGGGCTTGGACTTTTATTTTGTTGAATGGACTTGCTACCCTGATACTGCAGCAATCATGGGAGCTGCTGTTTTAACTCTTTGGGCAGAGGATCCTACCTGGTGGTGAATGATTTCTCAGGGGGCAGTCTCCATCCCTCAGAGAATCCTTCTTCCTAATCTCATTGACAATCTTACAGAAGCAGAGACCACTTTTAATAGTCCTCCATTCCTGCCCCCTTTGGAATTCATCCGATTTCTAGGCTTCTACTTCAAAGAGTATCACAGCTTTTGAATCCATGGCTTTTGGTTTTGATTTGTCTTAGCAGCAAAACACTTACATTGTAAGAGTATCACAAAAATGGCTCTTGTTAATTAGGAAAAAAAAAGCTTAATCTTTGAGTTTGTTGTTTGTTTTTAAGAATATGGGAGCTAGACATAGCAGTCCACACCTGGAATCCTAGAACTCAGGAGGTTGAGGCAGGAGGATTCTGAGTTTGAGACCATACTGGGCTACACGACTGCATAGCAAGTTCCAGGTCAGCCTGGGCTACACAGCAAGACCCTGTCTCAAAAAAAAGTATATATTTAATATTAATAAGGTAGTTCTTCATTACCTGCCTATCTTTTACCATAATGGAATATGACTTGGAAATTCTCAGGATAGAAAAAAGAAACAAATAATGGGAGTTAAAAAATTATCCTCTTACAATGGGCCATGTTGCCAGGTTCTTCAGGCAAACTTTATTTGAAGAAATTCTTTTTTGTGCTTTAGAGTTAGAGAAAAATTAGGTAGCTGAAGGGCCACTCAACCCTGAGAACATGACAGAGAAAAACTGCAAGGCATTTGATATTTACTGACATTGTCACATTGTCACATGATGGTTTTCAAGATTGTAGAAGAACTTCCAAAAAGTACAAAGATGGCTACTTTAAAAGTCCATATGTCTTAAGATGGACATTTTTTTTTTACTGAGCACTGTGAGACACAATCAATGATGTAATTTACTGAATTATACATAGCCCTGTGCTATTGGCCACGGAAAAATTAGATAGGTCCTGTGAAACTGTATTCTAAATTCTTTTTATAACAACACATTTCCAGACAAACTCAGCAGAACTCTTCAAGTTCTAGACACTGTTCAGCTAACTCACAGAACCCTCTTAATGAAAAGGGTCAGATATTAGGACCGCAGTTAAGCAGAGTTAACTCGTATTAAAAGGCTGTGGCTACTTCAGTTCCGTGACGACCTCCAACTTTAACACAGTCTCGAGGAAATCTATCCAACTGTTCATATGCTAGCCGCCCATCTTCTCCTGGAATAGAACATTAAGCATGAATACCACTTCAAACTCAAAATAAATAATTAATCACTCAAAATAAATTAATATCAGTGTTTAGGTATGGATTGCTACTTTGGTTGTTTTTCATAGTGCCTGGGGGTCAAATCCAGGGCCTAGGGCAGGCTGGACTAGCACTCTACCACTGAGCTAGAGCTATGTCCCCAACCCTGGATCACTATTTTAAGCTATTTGCTATATTAAGAAAAAGTCACCTTCTGTTATTCTTAATTATGTTACCGATTTCAACGTTTGGAGCAACCAAGATCTTTTGAACTAATGCTGGAGACCAAAGAAACACCAAGGTATGAAATAAAGCAGCAGTCCCACGACCATCTGATGTTGATAATTTCACATAATAGATTTATATTTGAATTATATTTTAAGTATATTAGGGATTTCAATGCATTGAACTTCTACATAGCTTAACTTGTGTTACATACATAATATACTGATACATCTAAATGACCATTGGTAAGGTGAAATTTAGGCTTTTAAGCTTTAGGTAAAAAAAATAACTGTTTGCCTCTTAAATATACCGTGAGATGCTTGTACCAGGCAACAGCTAATTTAGCTTTGTCCATAGCAATATCATGAACAGCAAATACTGTTTTCGAGTAGTTTAATATTTTGTTTTATTTTTCCTGTTTTTTGAGAAAAAACTGATTAATAAATAGGAAAACGATGACTGGGGATTTGACTCAGAAGTAAAGTGTGTGCTTAGCACGTGTGGAGGAAAAAAAGCAACAAAGTAAGGAGACAAGTGATAAGATGCAGACTTTCACACATTTAATACAAATGAGACAAAGATGGAAACAATTAGTTGGGCTCAATCAGAGGTTCATTGTGAATAAAAATGATAAAGAAAGATTCAAGAAATACTGGAAATATATTAATATGAGTGGGTTTCAGAAAAGGAATGTAATTGTGGATTTTTATAATGTATTGTAATCACTAGAAACAAAACCTTTCAAAACAAAACCAACAGCCTGATTCTTTGATATTTTTCTACATTTAACTTTTTTGGGAGGTCATAAGGATTTGCCTGTATTTAAGAGTCTCACAGTGAACTCTTGCATAAGCAAAAGTTCACTCATTTTAGGAGTTTGATCATTGCGTATGCATGCTTTGGCTTTTGGGAGATATATACTATATTTTTTCTACTATCGTAGTTTTAAATGTTTTGTTTCTTGGGGATAGAACCACTCTTTATTTGAAATGAAATGTTTATGCAAAGCCCCAGTATATAAAACAGATTAAAAACAGGATCTTTCCAGCTGATGGCAGGAGGAGATGAAGAGACAGAGGACCTGAGTTGGGCCTAGTCATATCCAATATCCTTGCCACTCTCTCACACACCCCATGTGTATGCCTCACCTAACAAAGAACTTTGCATCTGAAGCACTACAAATACCAGGCCAGCTCCTGTTTGCTCAGGAATAGACACAGGGTGGAGGTATGCAGTTCTCCAGAGTACCCAAGTCTAGTGCTGAGCGGGCCAGGATTCTACCTTGGTTCCCGACTGGGTCTAGGCATCCATTGGCAAGTTACACAATCTCAGATCTATAGTTTGGATCTTTTTTTGCTGTTTGTTTTGGTGTTTTTGAAACAGGCTCTCATTTTGTAGCCAGGCTGGCCTCAAACTTCCCATTGTCCTGCTCTGACCCATAAGTGCTGGGTTACAGGCCTGAACCATTATGCCCCGCTTACTGTAGTTTGGATACTGAATGCCCCACAAAGGTCATGTGTTTGATCCTCAGTTTGTGATGCTGTTGGAGGTGATGCCATTTAGGATATAGGACCTAGTGGAAGAAAGTTAAGACATTGGGGGCATGCCATTGAAAATCACTCTAAACTAGTCTGAGCTATATAGTGAGACCCTGTCAAATGAGTGTTTATCTCCTAGCTTCCAAAACAGGGGTGAGCAGTTTATGCTGCCATGTGCTTCCACCATGAGGTACTGTCCTGCCATCTGCTCAAGGGCAATGGAGCCAAGTAACCAGAGACAAAACCTCTGAAACCATGAGCCACAATAAGCCTTTCTACCTTTATGTTGGATTTTTCTTTTCTTTCTTCCTTCCTTCCTTCTTTCCTTCTTTCCTTCCTTCCTTCCTTCTTCCCTTCCTTCCTTCCTTCTTCCTTTCCTTCCTTCCTTCTTACCTTCCTTCCTTCCTCTTTTCTTTCCCCTTCCCTTTCCTTTCTTTTCTTTTCTTATGAGACAGGGTCTCACTATATAGCCCAGGCTGGCTTCCACTCATGATCCTCCTTGCCTCAGCCTCCTGAGCACTGGGGTGCTCCACCATGCTTGGACTTCCTCCTTTAAGTTGATTTATCTTAGCTATTTTGCCACAGCAATGGAAAGCTGATTAACACACTCAGCATAACTTAGTGTGCCCCTCTATGAAGTGGGACTAATTGTGCTTCTTCCCTCATGAAGGCTTGGGAAGACAAAAATGAACTAACCCTTGGATATCCCTCGAAACAGAGCCAGGCACAGAGTAAGACCTCTAAGCATTTCTAATCTCAAAATATGAAATGCTCTAAAACCCAGACTGTTCTGAGTACTGACATCATATGATGGGTAGTTAAAATGTAACTGAATTTAAAATATTACATAAAAACTGCCTTTAAGCCTTGCATGTAAGGTATATTCGAAATATAAATGCTTTTCATGGGTCCCAGCTCTAAGATATCTCATTATGTACATGCAAATATTTCAAAATTTGAAAAAAAAATTGAAACTTGAATCACTTTTGGTCTCAAGCATTCCGGATCAGGGATACTCAGTCTGTATTACTTCAGTGACATAACCAGGGCTGCTGGCCTTTAGGGCTTCTCACCGATATTTAGTTGTCAGTTGCCAATCCTGTAGCAGCCTTGTGACAGAGGCAGAGTTTGGGCTTGTGGAGTCAGTAGCATGGTTCCAAGCAGGACTAAGTTCTGCCTGGACATACTGGCATGGCTAGAGCTATGGTGAAAACTTCCCTGGCCAGTATGGTGGCCACCAGCAACACATGGCAACTTAAATAGTAATTACTCAAAATTAAATACAGCTAAAACTTTTTAAGTTTTATTTTAATTTGTGTGTGGTGCAAACCCAGGGCATTGCAACATTCTCAGCAAGTGTTCTACTGAGTGACATCCTCACCCTTAAAGTCAGATCTTTAATTCCTTAGTCACAATAGCCATATTGAACTGCTTGATAGCTGCATATGATTACTGGCTGCCATATTGAACAGTACACATTAAGAAATTGCCATTATTACAGAGGGATCCACTGGACAATTCTAGGTTGCAATGTGAATATTTCCATACTAGTTAGCAAATAGTTGCTGTTGAGCCCTTTGAGTGCTTATGATGACTTTTAGCCCTTTGTCATAGGGCATCTTATCAATTTCCATTGGTAATATCTTTTTGACTATATTAATTCAGTCTTCTGTGTGGGAGAAAAATATACCAGTATGTGTACCAGGGTCATAGAAGAATCATGACATTGAACTCAGGGGCTTCTCAAACTTTACTGCACATTGGAATCACTTAGAAGGTTTTAAAGAATCTCAATGTGGAGGCATACTTCAGACCCAGGAAAGCAGAGTCTTTGGAGTGGAAGACAGGCACAGGATGTGTTCGGCTTCCTGGATGATTCCAGTGCGAAGCCAACATTAAGAACTCGATCAAGGGCAAACACAACAAGGGGATTGGACTTTGGTCACATGATAAAGCGAGAGCACACAAGGGAGGTATGAGGATAGGGTAAGACACCCAAAAAACTAGATAGCATTTGTTGTCCTCAATGCAGACAAACTAAAGCAGATACTTTAAAGCAACTGAGGCCAATAAGAGAAGGGGACCAGGAACTAGAGAAAAGGTTAGATCAAGAAGAATTAACCTAGAAGGTAACACACACACACAGGAAATTAATGTGAGTCAACTCCCTGTATAGCTATCCTTATCTCAACTAGCAAAAACCCTTGGTCCTTCCTATTATTGCTTATACTCTCTCTTCAACAAAATTAGAAATAAGGGCAAAATAGTTTCTGCTGGGTAGTGAGGGGATGAGGGGGAAAGGGAGGGGGCAGGGGGCTTAGAGAGGGGATGGGGGAAGGGAGGAGAAATGATCTAAACATTGTATGCACATATGAATAAAAAAAAAAAGAACTCTGATCTGGTGGTAGAGAGGGGATGGGACTGGTATAAGCCAGCATCTCGATAGTGGAAGTGAGGCAGGTAAGGTGATCCCTCCTGGAGATGCTGCTGTTTGTGCAGCTCAAATGAATCTTGGGATACATTTCCTTAGATTAAAAGTGAAAAAAAGGCTGGCCATGTGGTACACACTGTAATCACAGTTAGTTGGGAGGTGGAAGTAGGAGGATTGCGAGTTCAAGGTTAGCTTGGGCAAAAGTTAGAGAGACACTATCTCAGAAACAAAAATTTAATACAAAAACAAAAGGGCTGGGGCAAGGCTCCAGAGGTAAGGCTCTTGTTTAGCATGCACAAGGTTCTGGGTTCAGTCCCCAGTACTAAAAAAAAAGAGTGGAAAGAGAAGCATCACTATGCTTTATATACATCTATTTTCTTAAACCACTGTTATTTCAGAACACTAAGGGATAAAGGATTTTAAACTACAACACCCTGGGTACCTTTCAGAGAACTAAATAACTTTTATACCTAAAACTGTATAACTATCTTATCCTTTGAACAAACATGCTTGCTGAGCTTTCTGCACAAAGAATGATGTATTCAATAGCAGAATGAAGTTTTATTAATCCTATAACTGTAAGAAAGAAGGCCTAAAAGTGAGTGGGATTTTCGTGATCATAAATGCTACAGGTCTCTTTTACATGACTGTGATACTATCATCAAACTAGGGTGGCTTTGTTCCAGGTGGTATATTTGACTGGATTAGGTTTGAAGACTTTCAGAGGATAATTTTTAGGCTTTAATAGCATGCTATTATAGAAAAATTGTTTACAACAGATACTTATACATTTTTATGCAGAGTTAAGAAAGGCTTTCCCCACCCTTCCAAGTCCCCCTAAAAGGATGAAAGTATGGAACACGTAAGACACAAAATTTTACAAAGTAAAGGAAAGAGGAAGGATTATCTGGATATTTCAAAATAAAAAAAGAGGACGTGAGGGCGATCTGGCTGCGACATCTGTCACCCCATTGATGGCCAGGGTTGATTCGGCTGATCTGGCTGGCTAGGCGGGTGTCCCCTTCCTCCCCCACCGCTCCATGTGCGTCCCTCCCGAAGCTGCGCGCTCGGTCGAAGAGGACGACCATCCCCGACAGAGGAGGACTGTTCTTCGGTCAAGGGTATACGAGTAGCTGCGCTCCCCTGCTAGAACCTCCAAACAAGCTCTCAAAATAAAAAAAGACTTCAGTTCTTTTCTTTGGTGTCAGGGCTTAGGTGGGCATAGGCCCAAAGGGCAATCACCCTGGGGGTCAGGGTGAAGCTGAGGCATGTGGGGGTGTACAGCATTTGCTGGGGGTGTGTCCCTGCTACCTTAGCCAATCACTGTCTTCCAGGGAGTGCTGACCCCACTGTGGCAATCCAACCTGGCTTTCCAGTGCTTCTGCTTTATGGTTTGGTTTCTGTGTTCTTGACTCTAAGCAGGGCACAGATTGTTGAACCCCTAAAAAGGCTCTTAAGAATGACCTTGACTCTTAGCGTCTACAGAGAACAAGGGGTCGTGGTGAGATGGACCCTGATTCATTTCTCATACCCCATGTGCATATGAGTAGACAGCCTACAGAGAGAGAAATTGCTAAGACAGGGTACATGAAACTTCCTTACAGTTTCTTTGAGAATTTCAGAAGTAAACAATTATAAAAAAGAAAAAAAAAAAAAAACTTACCAAGAGACAAGAGGGTTTCTGAGGCCACATTTCTGATTTCTTCAGTATCAGATTGACACAACGTCACCAGCATTTTAATGCATTCTGTAGCCTATGGGTAGAAAATAGTTTAAATAGTGTTCTGACATTTATACCTGGGGTTCTATGACAATTAGCATTTCATCACTGGTAGGAACTTTAAAAATCTTTTTACTTAGGGATTCCTAAACCTAGTTGAGTGTCGGGATCACTCAGGGAGTTCCTTTAAAAGTACAGATTCTTGGGTGCCACTCCAGATGCACCACAGTGGAGTTTCCTGAGACAGAGCCTGGGATTCCTATGTGTAGGAGCTTTGCTGACCGGCTAACTTCCTCAAATCACAGAGGATTCAAGTCTAGAGGAGTGAAGTGACTAGCTTGCTTTTCCACAATAGAACTCGTTTTTTCCATGTTCTTTCCACTGTTTTCCATTTATTAAAAATAGGCCTAATTGAGGAATTCCTATACACGTATTGAAACATTGTGCTGCCTGGAACTCTGCAGATGGTTTAGAAAGAGTCTTTTATTTGCAGAAAGGATCCTGTCTTGTAGGAGAAAAGGCAAAAAGGAAGAATCTGGTTCTCTCAGGTTTGGGATAGGCCAGAGTTAAAACTAGGGCCTCTGTACAAAAATCCATAAAAACCCAGGCAGATCACTGTGCTCTCACATCTTTATTTCCATGAAGTCTGTAGCACGGCCATCCACTCCTGACATGTCACTGTGTATCGCTGTGGGCCTTTTTTTTTTTTTTTGGCCACCTGAAGTTAACTTTGTGACCAAGTAACAAGGAAGGCAAAATTTCCCACAGTTGTTTTTCTTCACAGGTCATTAACTTTTTCTTTTGAGGCATTAATCCCTTTCTTCATGTCCCATCAGGCCTGCAGGTCCTTTGTCCCATGTGCCCATCCAAGGTTTTAGCAAGCCTAAGGTGTGGCCTTCTCATTCTTTTCTCAAGGCCTCCCCTTATGTTTTTGTGATAAAGGGAGGTTAAACATTAAATCCATTACATCAAAAGGTAAATGCACATTGGGAATTCTTAGCCCTTTGTTCTTTTCATTTACATTTTAGCTCTGTGTTCTCTAACACCTTCCTCTGACACAATTAGGACTGGTTAGCTGCTTGATAAAAATGGCTTCATGGAAAGGATCTGAGAATTTATTGGCACGTTGAATTTTGATACTTCTGTGCAAATTTCATTTTCTCATGTTATTTGTTGTATATGAGAAATATTAATGAAATCTCCCATATCATCTCTTTTGGGATAAATTTCTTTTCTAATACTGACCCAAAGGAAACTGATCCTTGTGAGTTATTGTAAAACATAATCATTTTCTTTGTTGACTTTAACAAAACAAAGTCACATGCAGTTTTTATTTAAAGGAAAACAAACGGTCCCCACAACACAGTTCAAAGCAGATGAGAAATACTGCTAAAAGAAGTACTTTCAAATATGGATGAAAAGCTACTACTCATACTTGTTTGACCTGACCCCAACAGAGGGTGAAGGAGTTGCAAGTCTGGGCTTTACCTCAAGGCTTTTTAGGGCCAGGCAAGCCGCCTTCTGGAGGTGGAGGTTGGTCTTTGTTAGTGCTTCACAGTAATAGACCAAGGCCTGAAAGAGGAGAGACACTATTTTAGCTCTCCCCCCAAGAAATTCATTAAAATTAATGTTGATTAAAAGACATGTTTATTCAGTAAGTTAATCTCTATATTCTACCAGGTCATGGACTCAGCCAGGCATGGTAGCACATATTTGTAATTCCAGCTACTCAGAGGCAGGCAGATCACAACATTGAGGCCAGCCTGGGCAATGTTAGCAAGCTCCTAGCCACAAAATACTTACCTGTATCTTGGTACCTGTTGTCTCATATCTGTCCATCCTCTTTCCCCACTACTGATTCTAGTTTTCAAGGGTTCTTAGGTGCTGTCTGGTTTTCTTTTCTCCCATTTGCTGTGACTATCATTTCCTTTACTTGTTTATTTCTTGACTAATTTTTGAGGTGCTGGGAATGGAACCCAGGGTCTCACACATGCTAGACAAATGCTCTAACACTTAGCCACACTCCCAGTCCTTTCTTATTTTCTTAAATTGTCATTTTTTAAAATATGTATTTATATTTATAAGTATATCTGTGTATGTGTGTTTCTCAATTTCTTAACATAATTTTTGGGCATGTTACTTGACTTCCTGTTCCTTATTCTGCTAATCTATAAAATGGTTGTAATAATAAGACCTAGTCCTAGGATTTTGTGAACCTTTAGTGTGGTGATACATGTAAAGAATTGAAAACAGTTCCTGACACAAAGTAAGCCCTCAATAAATATAGCTGTGATATTATATTTATTCCTACATATATCTATGTATTCATACATTTGTTTATAAGAGAAAAATGCCATAGTGACATCATAGATTGAAGTTTGTGGTGATTGTTTTTGTTTCTTTTTGGTGCTAGTATTGACCCCAGGGTCTCACACATGCTGAGCACTATGTACCACTGAGCTACACCCAGAGCCCCTACATTGAAACTCTTTAAGGAGAGAAAAACTTTGTTTTCTTTTTAAAACTTATTCAACTCACTTGGCATCTAGGATGATACTGTATAGTCAGTGAGTACCCAGTAAGTCTAATGATATCACAGTACCTAGATGAAAAAACTTCAAAGTATAACCAGCCAATTAAGAAGCAACTGTTCATGATATAGTGATTAAACATAGCTTATTAGCTCAGTCTTATAGAACAACACCATTCTTTTTTAAAAATGGGGATATAATTCATATACCATAATATTCACTTATTAAAGGGTACAACACAGTGTTTTTTAATGTATTCACAGACATTAAAGGGTACAACACAGTGTTTTTTTAATGTATTCACTAATATATCAGAGTGTTTTCATCAAAGAAATCCTGTACCCATTAACAGTCATTTCTGTTGCCCCTCTCTTTAGGCCCTGACAACCACTAATCTGCTCTGTCTCTATGGGCTTGCCTGTTCTGAATATTTCATATAAGTAGAAGCACACAGAACCAAAAGAACCAAGGAGACTGCCTCTGAGGTACTACCTACCACCAACTGCTCCCAACTCATGTTTTCAATGCTCCAGATCTCTATCTAGCTTTTCATCCCTGCTCAGTCACTGTTAGACTGCAACCATGCCTGAGAAGAAGGGCAATTTAAGTTGCGTTCAGCCACACAGGTCTTGGAATATGTGGTTTGGGTAAGGGTTAAACCTTTGATTGTTGTTAAACCATCAAGGTGCTTAGGAGGGAGCTAAAGAATGGCACAGAGGAAAAGAGAGCAGAATCCTGTGTAATATCACTTTGTAATATTAACAAGGGCTGGCCCAAAGGGTAAAAAACCAATAGATGGTATGTAAAACACAAGTCATAATCTAATTTGCTTTCTGTATTATTTCTGTCCATCCCATATCAGGGACACATACATTGTAAGCATACGTATAAATACATATGAAAATGTTCATTCATTTGTTTAGTGAATAACCAGATACTTATGTGCCAGGCTAACATGCCAGGTGACAAACCTGTCTATGTTAGCTTCACAGATGCTACCTGACTCTGTTAGTTCCATATTAGAAGGTTAATTTCATCCCAGAGGGGTTTCTTTTTTTTTTTTTACATTGTCTGGATTCTGCATTTTATTTATTTTTTTTTTTTAGCATTTTGTTTTATTTTATTTTTTTTCTTTTATTATTCATATGTGCATACAAGGCTTGGGTCCTTTTTCCCCCCTGCCCCCACCCCCTCCCTTACCACCCACTCCGCCTCCTCCCTCTCCCCCCCACCCCCTCAATACCCAGCAGAAACTATTTTGCCCTTATTTCTAATTTTGTTGTAGAGAGAGTATAAGCAATAATAGGAAGGAACAAGGGTTTTTGTTGGTTGAGATAAGGATAGCTATACAGTGAGTTGACTCACATTAATTTCCTGTGCGTGTGTGTTACCTTCTAGGTTAATTCTTTTTGATCTACCCTTTTCTCTAGTTCCTGTTCCCCTTTTCCTATTGGCCTCAGTTGCTTTTAAGGTATCTGCTTTAGTTTCTCTGTGTTAAGGGGAACAAATGCTAGCTAATTTTTTACGTGTCTTACCTATCCTCACTCCCAGAGGGGTTTCTAACATGGCATTGTGCTCATTGAAGATGATAGTATTTCTCAAATGCATGGTTTATGAGTCACACTGTCCCTTGAGCATGAGGACTTTGAATGGGAACTTGGGATGCATAACTCAGGAAGGTATTTGACATTTTTCTGTGCCATGTAGAAATACACCTTCTACAAAACAAGTCACACATTGCTCGCTTTAGTTTGAGCAGCTGCCAAGAAACATAGCTTCTGTGACACTACAATTGATGATTGTTCCAGGAAGTAGACAGAAGGAGCCTGTGAAGCAAGAAGTTCCCTGTTACAATACAAGGCTATCTGCATCGCCTCTGTAAGTCCTAGATGACTAATGATGCAACAACATCTCAATATCATAGTACAATTGGAGAAGAGTAGATATTTCCTACTTGTCTGGATCAGAGGGAGAAAATGTAAAATAACAATCAACACACGCCACTTTCACTTTGTTTTAATAGCTATGGTTCTTAAAGCAAGTTTCAAGGCTTATAGGTACTAACAGCTCCCTCACTCAGGTATTTCTGTATTGCTTTAGCTCTTCCTATCTTGTTTTGAGAATTTAATGTGCTATTAAAAAAAGCCAATTTCCCTGCCACCAAAAAACCCCCCACTAATGTTATAGAGAACAGAGCAGTGGTTGCTAGGAGTAGATGTGGGGGACAATATGACTATAACGGTGTAGCATGAGGGAGATTCCATGGGTGTTTTATATACTGTTTGTGATGCTGGTAACACAAATTTTTGAATATGTTAAAAATTCATAAATCTCAAAGGTTAAAATTCAGAGACTTGTATACCAATGAAGAAAGATTTAAAAATAAAACAGAAAATTTAAAGTGCAAACAAAAAGAATTTAGTGTACTAACTTTTGCTATTCTCTGTAAGAAAAAATAAGAGTTCAAGCTTTTAAAGGGGGGCGGTCACATATTTCTAGGTAATAATCAAGATTCTACCACTTAACCAGTGCACCATCTTAGCTAATTGTAACTCCTTGGAGACTCAGTTTCCTCATTTATAAAATTGAGTGTAACAATATCCACCTTGTCAGAGATAAGACAGCCACATGATTCAGCACAATGCCTGCTGTTGAGTAAGCACACAATAGTTGGCAATTATTTTTTCTTGTTTTTTCTGAATAGATTGGAAACTCTTCAATGGCCGAAACTATTTTTCCCTTTATTTCTACTGTGTCCACAAAACCCTCCCAACAGAAATGAATGTGAGAGAAATAAACGTGATAGTCGGGTTGGAATAAAAGAGAGCATTTAGACTGTGGCTTATGCTGCAAAGTAAAAGGTACATACCGAAAAGCAAAGGAGGGTATGTCCTAATAGTTACTCTGCAGGCATGCTCTAACACTGGTGCCTTGTTAATGACCAAAGATTATCTCAGTCCTGATCATGGAAAACTTCGCACATTCAGGTATGTGTATATGCCATCAGAAGTATTTGTACCTATTTAATTTCCCTCTCTTTTCAGTAAAAGGTGAGAGTGATTGGTCCATAAAGCAGCCTTTTGACTTAAATTGTCTGAAAGACCAGAACTAGCAGGGAAGAACAATATGGAGTTCACCCTCTTGGGCCAATATGTTATTAGAATGGAGAATCTTGTCAGGAGTACACAACATCTTAGTATACCTTAGAAAAGGTAAACAAGCATTTCTCAGGTATTCAACATGTGATCTTTTCAAGGACAAGAAGGGACCTTGTTTAATTTTCTTGAGCTGATATGAATTCTGATGTTAATTTTTGGAATGATGTTCACATTGTGAAGGGCTCCCAGGTGCTTGAACTGCAGATCCCTATTACATCTGGGTGGTAGCTAGATCAAAGTTGAGATGTACATTGCCTACTCTCTAGCAATAGGAACCATGGGTGTTTTATTTTTTTGGCAGCACTGGGGTTTGCACTCAGGGCCTCATACTTGCTAGACAGACACTCTTACCACTTGAGCCACTCCACCAGCCCTTTTTTTTTTTTTTGATGGGTTTTTTTAGATAGGGTCTCGTGAACTATTTGCCCCAGCTGGCTTCAAACATGATCCTCCTGGTCTCTGCCTCCTGAGTAGCTAAGATTACATGTATGAACCACTGGTGCCTGGCTAAGAACCACGGTTTTTAAGATTCAAAATATCCTAAGATTTTTCACCCAGTAGTTGCATGAACTGACCCCAAACTATGTATAAAAAGCCTAAATGCATACACATATGCACTAATCTACACATATATTCACCCAATATTTTTCACAGTTGGAAACTACTCAATAAGCCCCCTCAATATAGTAAAGAATTCATCCATAAATATAATGAAGGAAGTCTATATGTTCTGGCATAGAAAGAAAATAATCACAATATACAGCTGACTTACAAAAATCAGTTATGAAACAGAACAGTATGATCTCATTTAAAAATATAATTATATATTCTAGAATATATAGATAAAATCTAAAGGAACAGACTCTAAGTTATTAATGGTTTTCCCTGGAAGTTGGATTTACAAGGCACTTGACTAAATTATATTTCTGTAGTTTTGTCTTATAGAGTATATATTACTAATAAGGAGAAGTTTATTTTTTATAAAAGAATGAATACTAAAATGTGAATAGAAGTGATAGAAATTTACAGAAGCTTCTGTAAATTCAGATGATGCAGTGTCCTACCTTTTCCCTGAAATGCTTATTTTTGGAGGCTGCTGCCAAGTACAGTGTCACAGCCTCACTAACTTCATTGTCCTCTCTGGTCAACAGCAGAGCCAGAGTCCTGAGAACTTCTTGCTGGGCTGGGAGGTTGCTGGGAGCAAGGCTGTTCATGGTCTGCAGCAGTTTTTCATCTCTTAAGGATTGCAGAGTCTGAACCATGGAAACTAGAAGGTGAGAAGGAAACAGTTCATGTTCTGATAGTACAGCAACGAGTCCATAAAAGTAGAAGCATTTCATGTATATTTTCACTGAAAGTATATACATAGTAGACCAAAGTCTATGCGAAAAATTAGTCTATGATAATTTGAAATACTCAAATTAGTGAGAAAGAGAACACAGAGTTGCAAATCACAGGGGGAATGGCTGCAAAAAATAACATGCAGATGAGTTAAATAGTCCAATGCAAAAACACACAGGGAAGAAAATATAAAGAAACCTTTTCTACAGTCTTCCTAATACAGACAGCAAACACAGCTTTCCTTCTGTCTTTTAGTTGTAGCTACCTGGCAAAACACTAATCCTTGGTGAACCCAAATCTTCACTAAGGTGAGATCCTGACAGTGAATTGATTGGACTATAGAGACAACATGATAAGCAGTGGGGATTTGAGTCACATTGGGACAAACTGGCCCTGTAACCTGAATAAGAAATGTATTCACACCCCCAAGGAGATATCCACCATGGACATCCACTAGTTATAAAAACACTAGAGGAGAGTGAGTCTGGTCAGTCCCAGAGGGAGAAGAAAAGCTAAAATTCAGTTTCCATTAAGGGAGAAATATCCTCTATATAGCAAACAAATTTGTATATATGGATTTTTCTTGCTTTAATTTCTATTTTCCTTCCTGTGGATATTCTGTTAATCTCACTGCTTTGTAAATACCTCAGTGAAAACCCTCTGGAGAGAATTATATTAAAACAGCTAATACACAAATTGCAGAAAACAGCCTAAATGTTTAATGGTGCAACTGAATACATGAATATACATTCAAATATAGGGATCTTATAAAACTAACAAAATACTTTCAAAGGATATTTTGTAACATGAAACATGCCTAACTAAAAAACAGGACATAATGCTCTAAAAAAAAGACTAACCACATCCAGGTGCAGTGGCTCATGCCTATAATCCTAGCTCTTGGGAGGCAGAAATCTGGAGGATCGTGGTTCAAAGCCAGCCTGGGCAAAAAAGTTATCAGGACCTATCTTAACTGATAAATTGGGCATGGTAGCACATGACTGTCACCCCAGGCATAAGTGGCAGGGTAGTGATTTAGGCCATCCTGGACAAAAACGGAAGACCCTGTTTGAAAAATAACTAAAGCAGAAAGGGCTCAAGTGGTAGAGCAGCTACTTAGAAAGGCCCTGAGCTCAAATCCCAGTACTACTAAAAAAAATTAAATAATAAATAAAACAAATATAAAGTGCACCAATATACACGGAGTAATACAGCTTTTTATTCTGAAAATTTATTTAGACTGTGACACATTTAGTATCAAGAAATGCAAATGTCATAAAACGAGACTTTGTGGTCATGAAAAAGGGGTTCCCTGCCCAGGCTTTCTCTTCCGGGTCTCCTAGGCCAGACCTGCCCTTTGACGGGTTATACAGAGCGGCCCATGCTCCATGCTGAGTGCAGGGATTTTGCTTCTTCACATGATGCCCACCATCCTGCTGGCCATATTGCTGCAGGTTTAATGCTCTTGGAAGAGCAGGGCTGAGCCTCAGTCTGGGCCACACAGGATGCTATTGCTTGGGGCTGTGCCCAATCCTCAACCTGGCCCTGGAGCACACACCTCTTCCTCCTGCCCCTTTAACCTGCATTGTCAGGCTCTGTGGATTTATAGAGCACAAACCTAGAAGCCAGCCACCAGCCCCTCACTGCCTGGCTTTCCCAAAGAAGTTTTCTCTCTATTCAAATACTCTGTTTCCAACATCTGAGGTCCATATGGAAGGGCAGTTGTGAGCCTTCATCCTGCTCCCTACACTGGCCCGCACCTCCCTCCATGGATATTCCACCCTGCGTTCACTTTTCCACCTGTCCTACTTTCCTTTCCCATGTCTCACTCAGCCTTTTTTTTAAAGCTGACTTCTGCCTGTTATTACTATTATTAATTGGTAGAAGTGGGGTTTGAACTCAGGGCTTCTCGTTTGTAAAGCAGATGCTCTATCACTGAGCCACACCTCTAGTCCATTTTACTCTAGATGGGGTCTTGTGAACTATTTGCCTGGTCTAGCCTCAAACCATGACCCTCCTGATCTCAGCCTCCCAAGTAACTAGGATTATAGACTTGAGCCCTGGCACCTGGCATCTGTCTATTACTAATGAAAACTCTATCACAAAAGATAATATAAAATAGTATTGCCCGTAGTTCTGATCCTACTAATATATTAGTAATGGAAGAAATTTACAGTGAAATCTTAAATCATTTGCCATCTTCCTGTTAATGGTACCTCTCTGCTGGATGACCCAGGTGCCTGGCAAATCATTGTTTTATTAATAAGAAGCTTACTAATGTTAAAGGTCCACAGTCATTGAAATAGCAAATCTCAGCTCCACTGTGGACTTAGAGGAAGAGAGAGAGACAGACAGACAGAAACAGAGAAAACAAAGGCTACCATCACTAAAAAAATCATGATTTAAAGGAGCAGAGGTAGCTCCAAACTGAACCACCACTACAGTGTGACAAGAGAACATGTACTACCTTGCCTGGCCAGCTGACTCAGGTAACTCTCCAGGTCATTCACACCATGGCTGGTAAAGTAACTGTAATACTGGAAAACGGTGACAACTTCTGAGGAAAGGCTGGAGGAAAGCAGAGGCTCAGTTCGGTCCAGAATTTGGGACACCAGGGTTCGAAACACTATTTGGAAAGGAAGACATGATGCAGTTCAAGAAACATGGTCATTCATTAATCTTTTATCATAGTACATGTAAGATGGGTTGATATGTGTAAAGTGAACTAGCCTTCAGGTGGCTTTTGCACACATACACACCTGTGCAATTTAGGGCAAGATCTGGAAAACCACCAGCACAGATTTTCCTGTGACCCTTCCCAGTCTGTAGTTAACCCCCCCCCCACCGTCCACACACACACAGCATAAGGGAAATATAACTTGACTTCTATCAGCATATATTTATTAGTTTTTCTTGTTCTTGAGCTTCATATAAACAGAATTATTCAGTACATATTCTTTCTATCTGGTTCCTTTTCCTCAACAAACTATCTATGAGATTCATCCAAATTGTAGAAGCAATATACTCTTTTTCAAAGTGCTATATAATACCATATGATATGATTATATTATAGTTTATCCATTCTTTTCTTGTGGGCATTTGAATTGTTACCAATTTTTGACTCTTATGAATAAAGTTGTAAGTCTTCTTATACATAAACTTTCTTGTGAACATAAACACTCATTTTCTCTTTCTATATTTAAGAGAATTGCTGGATCATAGGGTAGGAGTGTGCTGAAGTTTAGTAGAAGCTGCCAGTTTTTCCAAAGTGGTTGTACCATCTGACACTCCCATATTGGTGACATTCAATGGAACAGTTAGTCTCTGTATCTATGGGCTCCACATCTGTGGATTCAACCAACTGCAGACCAAAAATATTCAGGAGAAAAAATTTGCAACTGTACTGAACATGTACAGACTTTAAAATCTTGTCATCATTCCCTAAACAATACAGTATAACTATTTTTGCAGCCTTTCTATCACATTAGGTATTGCAAGTAACCCAGATGTGCACAGGGTGTATGCAACTACTACACCATTGTATATAAGGGACTTAACGTGTCCACAGATTTGGTTATCCATGGGGGGGTCCTGGAAACCATCTCCCACAGACACCAAGGGACAACTGTACATACCAAATAACAATATAGACGCACAGTACTTTTTCCAAAGTCACTGCTGATATTCTGAATTAAAACATGTTCAATACCTTTCTTTTCTTAAATCTAATTGAGTAGATAATGCTTTCCCTGGATAGCATGCCTTTCTTTTACAGGGCTGGCTTTTTGTGTATCCCCCACACCCAGGCAAAGGTGGGGGAGTCCCCACCAGCACTACTGTTGCACAGAAGGACAGAAACTCTTGACTACTGCTGTCCCATACCTGGGTCTGCAAGTCCTGGGTATTCTTTGTCCATAGTTCTAGCAAAGCTGGCCTCCAGCTGCTTAATCACTCTGTCAGCTGAGCTGTGGTAGACACCAACCGGGCCGCAGCACTTGGTCCAAAACGACAGCAAAGGCAGCTTTTTGTGAAATTCTGGTATAGCTGGAAAAGAAGGGCAAGTCCCATCCCGCAACATGAGTTAGGAACGAAGTAGATGAAGAAAGATGTGCACGGGGGTGGGGATGGGGGAGGCATCACCAAGTAGCTTCTTAAAAAAGACCGGTTTCTAATCAGAACTACTGTAAGATTCCTCTGTGATTAGCAGATGGTCCAGAGGACAAAGAAGTAATGGGGAGAAATTCATTCTGCCCCAGGGGCAAAGACAATGCAGCCAAAACAGGGCTGTTTGCTTATAGTGACAGAAAACCTAGCAGTTTGTCCTTAGAAGACATCCATGTATCTCATCTCCCCTAACTTTATAGCAAAACACATGCAGAATCAGAGACTCAATCTTCAGAAGACCTTCCTAAAGGGGATAAAGTGTAGCAGTGGTGGCTGGAGGGGTTTTTCCTCCTGCTCAGGCAACTTTCAGGTAGTGTACAGTTACCATCACACTCATATGGTAAGGAGAGGACAGGGCACAAGTCACTCGCAGCCTGAATGGCTCCCTTCTCACACCTCTCGGGGACTTGCTAATGTCACCTGTTCCTAGCAGGAATTGACACAAGAGGCAGAAATGCGCAGGGAGATCCCAGAGGGAGTTTTAGGCTCAATGACAGATTACCTAGAAGACACTTAGATCTGATACTAAAAACAAAAACAAAAACAAAAACAGAAGTTCTTGTCTTTTAAAAGAGCCAGCACCCAGATCACACAAACTTAAAGGCATCTTTCCCATCTCAAATTCTGCCTCTAAAACTCTCAGAAACTGGGACTGTCCTGGAGGCCTTTGAATCCATACACTTCCACCTTCCCAAGACCTTCCCCTTGAACAGTCAGCTGCTATGGGAGTCATGTCAGCTGACTCCATGGCAAGACAACAATCCTGATTATCTGTCCCTAAAGGGAATCTCACCAGCAAAAGATGTCTGAAAGATTCTGCCTGGAGGTGGATGTTGTTTCTGCTTACACACTAGTGTCTAACTTCAGAGGCCAAGGCCCTACAGATAGAGCTCTGTGTCTCTGGCTAGCCTCAGAGGCTGACACATGGCCTTAACAAGCCCATAATATGGAAACCTTACCCTATTCTAGGGCTTCAGAATGCTCTTCTGTTTTCCTGATGAAATGGTGAAGAGGCACAGACAGGGACTGGGTGCGTATGTCATCATTTACAGGCATGGTGGTGTAAGTAGCAGTGGCTTACCTTCGATGACAGAGCTGATGTTGCCTATGTTCTCATCACTGACTGCTGCGAGTTTCCCCATCACTTGGATCTGCTTAGAAAGCTTCTCTAAGAGATTTCTTGCCACAAATGGGGTTTTGCTGGAGAAAACAATTTGCTGATGAAACAAACAAAAAAACCACCATTTTAATTGCTGTCAATAGAACTTTTCCTCCCCAGCTGCACACTTCCTGAAAGTGTAGTGATAATAAATGAACCCATGCAGAGCTCTTGGTCCAGCCTGATATATTCCTCATTCCCTGCCATAAATCAGATTTGTTTTTACTGCTGCAAACTTTTGTCGTAGCTGGGAGTGGTGGCTCACATTTGTAATCCCAGCTATCAGGAGGCACAGATCAGGAGATCATAGTTTGAGGCCAGCCTGGGCAAAAAAAATTAGTAAGACCCCCCCCCATCTCAACCAATGATCCAGGTATAGTGAGGTATGCCTGCAATCCTAGCTACATGGAAGGCTGTAGGTAGGAGGATGGCAGACTTAGGCTAGCCCTAGGCAAAAACATGAGACCCTACCTGAAAAATAATAAAGCAAAAAAGGGATGCTTAGGGTGTCACTGACATGGTAGACCTCCTCCTTAGCAAGTGTGAGGCTCTGAGTTCAAATACCAGTTACTACCCCTGTTCATGAAAAAAGAAACTTTCTATGCTTGTATACGTTCTGGAATTTTCTCAGTAGTAAAGCAGCAAGTTATTGTTGCCTTTCCAATTACATCTGTGTGTGTGTGTGTGTGTGTGTGTGTGTGTGTGTGTGTGTGTTAAATTTGTGATCTTCCTGCCTCTGCATCCTGAGTGCTGGGATTACAGGTGTGTACCACAATGACTGTCTCTGCCTTTCCTTTTATGTACTGTAAGTCTGACTTTCCTCTTTGAAACTTGAAAGGCTGTGTTTGGCATGTAAGCAGAAAAAGATTTGTTTCTAGGAGCAGTAATTTTTCACAGCATAGTTTTATTTTCTTGTTTTCAAGCTGAAAATTAAGAGCAGATTGTATAATAGTCATAATTGCAGTCAGAGCTATCTCATTATAATTAAAGAGTGCTTACTCTGTACCAGGCACTGGTCTGAGCCCTACTCATTTATTATATAGATTACTTCTCACAATGACTCATGACATGGGTCTTATTGATTAGCCCCATTTTACTGATGAGGAAACTAAGGCACAGAGAGGTAAAGTAATCTGCCCCAAAGTCACGTGAGTAGTAAGCAATTTCACTTGTGTGGGAGTCACCAGAATAAGGAGGCTCGAGAGAGGAATGGACATCAATCACTTGCTGCTCGATGGTTCTGCTCCTTTCTATGTCCTTCAGAGACCTCCTGGTTACCTGGTAGCCATGGATGTGGGACACAGAGCAGTACTGCCCTGCTGTACTGTCAGAAGCATTTGGACTGTAAAACAAATGGCAGTACTAATGTCTTTCATGGAAATAAATGCCTTGGAAATTGTTTTATTTTACAAATAATTATGGCTATTGTGATTCTGGTAGAATGCTCATTTTTATCTTTCTGCAATTATGTATCAAGTGACTGGTACAATTATGTATCAAAAGTAAGCAAACTCACTGAGTCAGGAGTGAGTGCAAGTGAGAAATGAGGTCTTCATCTTTATATTCACCTCATTTGTTTTTCTAGCATTGATCTTCCCTACAAAAGTTTGTTATTTGGGTCATGGTGGTACATGTATGTAAATCCTAGTTATTCAGGAGATGGAGGAAGGAGGATCATGAGTTCAAGGTTGGCTTGGGCAAAGTTAGTGAGATCCTATCCAAACTAAAATACAAACAAAAGGGCTGGGGGTATATAGCTCAACTGGTAGGGTGCTTGCCTAGCAAGCTTGAGTCCCTGAGTTCAATCCCTAGTACTGCAAAAGAAAAGAGTTGGATTGTTATAATCATGGCCCTATCCTAGAAGGAAATACTGCACTGTCTATTGTGTGTCAATCAGTGTTTAGAAGAAACTTTACCCTTTCATGGAAGAGAATTCTCTGAGGTTTCACAAATTGGCTCCTTTATCTCTAAACAGTTAATGGGGGTTTGCTCAGCCAGTATCAGAATCAGCAAAGATCATTATAGAGCTAGGGAAACCATCTTATTCAAATGGCTGCTAGGTAGTGAAGGAGTAAATGAAAATCCTTGTCCATTTTGATCAGGAAAGACAATTATACCTTCTGCCAGGTTGACTGTCAGGATTGTGGTTTATAACTTCAACATTCAGCAGAAGATCTCAAGGGGATATTGGCTAACCCAGTGGCAAAAGGTACATTGCCAGCCGGTTTCCTGAGCATGTAAGTTGCCTGAGGCTCCTCTGGTGCAAAAGCATATTCCTTAATGTCTCATCATGTGTGCATTACCAAGGAAGCAGTGCCTGCCAGTCCCCTGCCCTTGCCAGGACTTTCTGACTCCTCATCCTGCCTTTTGCTTTTCAGCCAGCCCTACACTTGTAGGAGCACAATTCTTCTGTTTGTACCTTTCCTGCATGATTGATTTCCCCAAAACCATTATTATGTTTGTTTCCACATTTTTATTCTGTTCTACACAGCATCCAAGCAAGATGGGAAAAGAACAAGGTTGGGAGAAGACAAGCAACTACACAAGGAGGGAGCACTGAAGTAGATGCTTTGAGAAATTTTTTTTCTGTTAAGGAAGATTGAAAACTTTCTTATAACAAAAGAATTTCAAAACATTTGCCCCACTGTTGCAACATCTGGATGGTAGTGAGGTGTGGGGGTGCATGCTAGCAATCCCAATACTCAGGAGGCTGAGGCAGAAGGATCTCCAGTTCAAGGCCAGTTTGAGCTACATAGCAAGACCTCATCTCAAAAACTGCTACTACCACCACCATCAACAGCAACAAGCAAAAAGCAAAAGAAAAATTTAGGTGTCCCAAAGTGACAGCTAGCTGGTGATGATGGTGTCCTAGAAAATTATTCTGTCCCATTGCTCATGAGAATTACTCACTCAACATCTGGGCAAATGTGATTAGATACTTTACTACTTCGCTCTTAGCTTTCCAGGTGGTAGAAAACGAAGCCATGTGACAGTCACATATTACATTTAACATGTATTCACATGTAAAATATTACTGCCTTTTAAATTGCACTTGTAGGTAGCAAAGTGTAAATACCTTTTTTTCTTAATCACCTTACTCTCATTTACTACCAAATGATTTAAAAGTGAGAGCTAACCATATTTTTCCACTTACCACCTTTTAAGGTTTAGAGATGTAGGTTTTAACATGGAAAACCCAGGATGAGGAAGGTTGGGCAGGCCTACCAGAGTTCTCAACTTGGTTCAAATCAAAGCAGTATGGTTCTTTTATTCCTGAATTCTCACTTCCCTGGCAACACTAAAAACTAAAAACACTAGCAAGTCAGGCTTCCTGACAAATGTGGTCACTAATCTCACCTGAACAGAGTTGGGTGCAGTACTGTAGATGTCTAACGATGGTGATGTCTAGGCTCTCATTTCCTGTGGTCAGTGGGAGAGGGCTTCCTGCCACACTGGTCCCGACTCCTGTGTCTTCCGTCAGTGCTTCGCTAAGATGTCCCCTGGCTTCTGGGTGAACTGACCTGTAACTGTGAAGCAGGAAGGTGGGCGAAATATGAGCTATTTCTTTCTGTGTGCAAACCACAGGTCAAGTCAGCATGGCTGGTGTCAGGCCCCCAACAGCATCCACTGAAATCAGTCTTTCTCTTGCCTACTTTGAAAAGTAGAGATACCTTTCAAAAACAACTTAATTCAGTTTGGCTTTCAATTTGCTTAGTATTAAAAGACCATGCAAACAAATTGCTTCTAGAGTTCTCTGTTTACTTCTTAAGCACAATGAACCATTGATGAAGTAGTTTCCCTAAGAAATCTTTGAAACGTGTCCTCGTTTTTCATTTGTGGCACTTTCCTGCTCTGTTAACAGGGTGATTTGCCAAATTCTCTGGGATTAAACAGTCCTCTCTATTTGTGGTTTCCCAAGAGTAATACTATTAAGAAATAATCTGTCAAGGCCTTTCCCTTGGCCTCACATCAATCACTGCTTAAAGAAAAGGAAAAAGCAAAGCTGTGAAGCAGGGAGATGGGATGTTTTACTCCGGACAAAGGTGGAAAAGAGTGTTTGAATATGTAGAGCATAGCTCAGTCCTGTCTCTCACACTTTCTTTAAACCCCATTGTGGCACTCTCTAAAGTTATATCATGATGGGCTCTTACACTAAAAATATTGGTTGTATGTGTCATCTAATTTTATTCTTAAATCTATATGCTCAGGAGGAAGGGGATAGTCTCATTTCACACTGGAAGGACTGACTAGCAGGATGTTAATGACAGCGTCCTGGTTCATTCAGCTGGGCAGTTACAGAGCAACAGGGTGACTTTTGGCTTCTAGCCTCATGTTCCTGGGTCCACAATATAACAAAAAATCATGCACCAAAGCTTAGGAGCTTTGAGTGTTTTACTCTGGTTCACATTTGCCTCTAAGGAGAAAACCCTCAGCTTATGTCATGGCAGTTAACACATAATTACAACACACACACACACACACACACACACACACATGCACAATACCTCTGATTACATACCATAAGACTGATTGAATTAGATATATTTAATATCAATGTTTAATACAATGTATAAAAGCTATGATGTTTTTACTGTCAAAATATTGCTTATAGCAAGAAGAAAAAAATTTAGATTGATACCTGATCTTGATACATCATGTTTGCTCAAGCTAACAAGTATACAGAAAAATTTTTGGCAAGGGACTAATTTACAAATTCAGTAATGTTGGAAAAAAATCACAATGTAGAATGAAGAATTAAGTATTACATTCATTTCCTAGCTTTTACTTCCTTTTATTCCCAGTTTGCTCAAAGGATAAACTCTAATTTGTGTGTGTGTGTGTGTGTGTGTGTGTGTGTTTTAACCTAGTTTTATTTTGGAAAAAGATACCTTCTAGGAATAATGGAAACCAAAAACAATAGCACTTCCCACGGAGAGGTCTATAAGGTCGAACAGTCATAGCTTGTTGTAACTTAAAAACCTGTTTATGTCACCATTGTTGTATCAAAAGTAAAGGCCAGTAGGAAAGCCACCCTTCTTTGGGAACATGCTGGTGCATTTTTTCCCAGCAGGTGAATGAGGTATCCATGTTCATTGTGTTTGTTTTGCTTCATCTGACATCACAGAATGGATGGCTCTTAAAGCATGATTGATGGAGAAAGTGACCACCTTTTATCTTCGTGATCTGTCAGCCAGAGAAAGGCACATTTTCTACCTAGACAGCTGTAGAGCTAGTGGTAGTTGTCAATCTCCCTTTTACATTCTAAGGCAAATACGCACCACAGGGTCCAAACCTGGTTTTGATAAATACATTGGTGAGCTAAATCTCATACAAAGACTTACTGGGCCAAAGGGAAAGAGAAAAGGGACAGGAAAGCAAAGTACAGCAAAACAAAGGCATTAGAAGAAAGGTGCATACCAGGGAGAAGCAAGTCCAGATTTATCATCCAGTAATAATTCTCTAGAAATGTAGTTTACCTAGTTAGTTTGGAATTAACTGCATGCGGTCAGGTTGTAGACACTGAGCCCCAGGAGACATATGTGTACATGTATACACGCACTCATGCAAAAATTTCCCCCTTGCTTCTAAGAAAGAGAAGGGATTTTTTTCCTTAAGCAACCCCAAAGAAGTGAACAATATTTAGAAATTATACATGACAATGAAAAGGAACTAAAAGCAAAATACTATAAGTCAAGTCATCCATGTAGAGACTTTTATCATCCAGGAGATGTGCACCAGGTGCCCTCTGATAGTAACAAAGAAAAACTGCCCCAGTTATAATGGGAGAAATATAGGTAGATATTGACTTTAGACTTACCTGTTTTTCTCAGTCTCAGTGTCTGAAAATACTGAGTCGGCACCTCCTCCAACATGACAAACCTCATCACCATCGTCCTCCTCCTCATCAAAATCAGAGGTGTTCAGGAAATCAAAGCTTTCTAAAGCACTTTCGACTGTAAGACTTAAGCTGGAAGACCTGCTGTGGCTTCCTGCGGGTTTGCACTGCAGAGGAAGAAGGCACCAAGGAGAGCGAACATCAACACCCAAAGGAGGAACAGGACACAGGGCACCAAACTGGAGATGTGACACTTTCTTTTCAAGCTTTTATTTTTTATTGCCATTAAAAATCTTCACGTTCAAAACAAGAAATACAACCATGGATAATTGGCACAATATCTGGGATTTGTTCCAAAAAAATCCAGAGAGAAGTACACAGGTAGAAGAATAGATGAAACAAGACTGACCATGAATTGATCACTGGAGACACTGGGGATGGACATATTTACTTACGTTTGAAAATTTTATAATAAAAAAGGGATGGAGGAGGGAGGGGAGGGGAGGGGAGAGGAAAGAATAGAGGGAGGGAGGAGAGGGAAGGAGGAAGGAAGAGAGAGGGAGAAGAGAGGAGGGAGAAGAGAGGAGGGAGGTAGGGAGGGAGGGAGGGAGAGAGAGGAAGAGACAGAGAGAGGGAGAAGAGAGGGGGAGGGAGAGAGGAAGAAGAGGGAGGGAGGAAAGAGCGAGAAACAATTTTTAAAAATCCAGTAGACAAATTTTAAAGGTCACAGAGTCACATTGGCTACTAATCTCTAATTCCAAGTGATAATGTCTTCAGAGTCCTGAGACCATTAAAGCATCCACTCTAGAGAACTAACAAAACAAATGCCAGGAATTGCTCAAATTCACCTAACTCACACTCCCTAGGTAGTAAGTCCTACATCTTATTGTTACATTCACAGAATAATGATTTTTTTCTTTGAGCACTGAGAGGAATAAAGGAATAGCATGGGCACAGCAAGACCTGATTCCTCTGGAGCTCTACCTTGAATAAGGTCCATGTCCTCCTTCCTCCCTGGAAATATGGGGGCAAACTCTTTCTATGGCCTGAAAAATTCTGTGTTGCGGGACATAAGCAGAAACACTACAAACAGGTAATGCCAGTTGTTGTGGGCACAGAAACAGAAGTACTTCCAAATATTCAAGAGGATGCTGGGGTGGAGTGACCAGGACAAATCTTGCAAGTAAGACGCCTTAAATCTCCTCTATCCAGCTAGGTGGCACTCCTTGCTGATTTCTTAGCACAAGGTAGGAAGGGCCTTGCAGGGATCTGTTTCTGACACCTAAGATGGCACAAAAGACACAGGAAAAGGTCTTTCAGTCTTTTAAATCACAGTTGTTTCATTCGCCCTCTGTGATCTCCGTCCAAGAGGCAGCATCATTTAGTCTCTGATCCTCAAGCTGTTTAGCACCCTAGGAATGTGAAGGAGGGAAAAAAAAGAGAAAGCTTTGTCTAGCTGATGCTTTAAATCTGGTTGGATTCAAAGCCACTTGGCCCAGACCTAAATTCCTAACGATATTTTCGGTCTCAAAGAGCGACAAGAAACCAATTTGCATTCAACCCATTTTCTTAGTCTTCTTTCCTAAGTCAGCTTATCTGCACAACTTGATATTGAAAAGGATGGGTGGGTTTAAATATTGGTATAACAAAGAAATCGGTGGTTGAGGATGTCACTAGTGGGATAGTTTTGGAATAATAGACTGAAATAATACGAAAGAAATCTGTGAACAAGTTTCTGTATGACTAACAGATGATGTGGTTAGTTAGTGTTTCCTGGTGGATTGAGCTATTTATCAGCACCTTGAACTAGAATGGGAGCTGCCATCACCTCTTTCTCTTTCAGTGCTGGGAATCAAACCTAACCATTGTCTTTAAGACATCTGCTTTAGGTAGTGTCCATTGTGTCTTAGCTCTTTGAAATGAACACCTTTTGCTCATAAAGCAGAGGTGGTCAACTGTGCAGAAAAGATGACCAGTGAGCCAAGTTAGTACCACAGAAGTAGCCTCCATGCACAAGTTCTGAGCTGATGCTTTTGGGTGCCCTTCCCTGCTTCTCAGAGGCTATGCCTATAGTGAAGCTAATCTGTTGCCAGCATTTGAGGACTCGGGAGAATTAGAAGGTACATTGTCATCTGCCCTGGTCCTCTCCAGAGCTAGGTCAGCATGACTGAAGAGAAAGGGATAAGATGGTCAGAAAGGTTTTGAAAATGTAGCTCCTGATTGTCACCAGGAAGGCTGCATCTTAAAGCCATCTTACAAAGGGACCTGGTGGCCTCCTGTGGATTGGTCCGCAGCTTGCCATGACAACTTAATTTCAAGTCTTTTTTTTTTTAATAAAACAGTTCCCCAAGGAACTGCCTTTTCAAGAAAAAGAATCCAATTTCTCTTCTATATGACCGTATCAATCAGTGTGGGAAAACAAAGGATACAAGAAGTAACAGTGTGATTTGGGACAAAAATTCAAGTTCTGTCTTTCTGTGCAATATTTTAAAATTTTTAACATGCATGCCATGTGCAGATAAATCTGTTCTGATGTAGCAGACTTTATTAGGACTTTGTACCTATGAGGAAATCCCTCCTACCTTCCCACTTCTACCCTGTCTGATCATCATGAATTGAGGAAAATCTCCGGTAGAAGGTAGAGTATAAGAGATGACTAATAGCTGATGATTAACTTAGATCCTGTCTTGCTGCTCTGAGTTAAATCCAGAAAAAGGCATCACTGTGAAAGAAAAGGATGCGTTTGGCATTGAGGCTGGCTAACTTCCCAACCAGGCAAGGGGCTTCCTGCTTTCCTGTAACCTCAGAATGACCCTATTCAGTAACATCTGTGAGACTATGATGATCAAAGCACCAGCATTTCACATTTGGGATTAGAATGATTAATTCTGGGACTGGTAGAGCTCTCAAGTTAATTCCTAATCAATTAGGTTCATCTGTTGTCAGGAAAAAAAAATATATGCAATATATATAAGTATATAAATATATATAATTGGCATTAAAAATCGTTGACATGTCAATGATGATTACCTATTGATCCTGTTATTGGACAGGATTTTGTGGGGGAAGATGTTATCTTAAGTAGACTGTTGGTTTAGGACAATGCTTTCCAAACCTAATCCAATTTCTCTGAAAAGATACTTACTTTTAGAATGTCATCCAAATGCATGACTTCTTGGTTCAGATCCTGGAACTCTTTGTACTGCTCCTTATGTGGTTCTAATGCAAGAAAAAGCCCATTAAAGGCATCCTCTAAGCTGCCATCCAGAAAGGATCTACAGCTTTCAGATTCTCCACTGACAGAGCCCTCGAAGAGCAGCCTCTCTGTGGCCACTGGCACTTCAGCTGAGGTAAGCCTTTTCACCAACTGCTTCGTGATATTGCCTTCAAAAGTGTCTAGTTCCACAGGTTTGAGGTCAGAGGCCTCATCAGACTCTTGCAGAAGGGCCTCCGCAACACCATTCTCAATGAACAGGCGCTCAGTGCCAGCACCTGTGGCCAAGGCAGGCTTCCTAGGTTCCACTGTGTCCCCCTTCAGGTGGGACTTTGGCTCTTGGTCTTCTCCCAAGGAATTTCTAGAAGATACTGAGCTGCTGTCATCCATGCTCTCCTTGTGGGAGGATAGGCTGTTGTGGGTGAGCTCAGCAGGGGTTATGGTAATTTCTGGATTTGCTGAGCACAAGCTGGAGGGAGAGGCAGCTGAGTTGGAGATGATGGTGCAATCCCCATTGGGCAGGTCACTGAAGCTAAGTGACAGTGGCATTTTTTCCTCAGCAGTCTTTCCATTTTCAAAGATGTCATCAGGTAGATTTGACTGTGGATAAAAAGTACCTCATTATTATTCTCAATACAAATGATGAATTTGGCATGGTTTATTTCCACATTAAATGGGAGGCAATTAAAATAAAATTTTATAACCCAGAACATTCATATTAGCATTTTATTTGTTGGAGTGTGTGTGTGTGTGTGTGTGTGTGTGTGTGTGTGTATAGCAAAAGAAAAAAGGTCATTAAAAGCTCTGTTTCCATTGTTGAATCTGGGTGACAGTTCACTGTACTGTTCTTAGGTTTGACATTTTTTAAAAGAAGAGGTTGGGGGTGGAGCTGGGACATTACTGCTTTTCTAACCCCAGATCTGACAGTAGTTAGCAGCCATAGTTATGGATATAGCACTACCAATTTTTTTTTCCTTTTCTTGGCATCCATCTTTAAAGACTTCCCAACATCCATGCTATTTTGCTCCAAAGATATGATGCTTTGTTCTGCTTCTGGGCTCAGAATCTCTACCCACAAATCTGAAGCTCTTGAAAATGTTCTATTAATTTAGCAACCACACCATAAACAATTCAAGGCCAGCAATACATTTGCATGGCTTTTCTAGCAATAGGAGATAAAGACTAATAGATGGAGTGACCGTCTTCCCGGAGGCAAACCCCAGGGCTCTCAGAATGTCTAGAAACACAGTCCTCTGTGGAGCAGACCCAAGCTGTGTCTCAGGTATACTCTGTGCTTCATGAAGCAGAACTCTGAAGAGACAGGTCAGAAATATCCAAGTAGCCAGGATGGGGATGTAGCTCAATTGGTACAGTGCTTCCCTAGCATGTGAAAGACTCTGGGTTCAAACCACAGCAAGAAAACAAAAACAACAACAATAAAAATAAAACAAAGAAAAGAAAGAAAGGAATATCCAGGTAACCAAGATATCTGTTGGCTCTGCAACTTCTAAGTCAGCTTTCCTTATATTGTAGTCTCTATATAGTATCTAAATTACAAAATTTGTTTCGGGGAACATTTTCTGACTATTTGAATCAGCCCCTTCGAATGGCTAATTTCTCTTACATTCCAGATTGGATTTTTAAAGTACAGTCAGTCCTTTGTATATATGGTTTCACACCTGCAGAGTCAAACAACCATGTATTGAAAACATTTGAATAACTGTCTGCACCGAACATAGACTTTTTCCTTGTCACTATTTCCTAAACAATATAGTATAACAATTATGTATGCAGCATTTACTTTGTATTAGGTATCATAAGTAGACTAGAGGTGATTTAAAGTACACAGGAGGAAGTCTGTGGGTGATACATGAATACTAAGGCATTTTGTATACTGCACTATTCTTTTATTCTGAGAAGCAACTTCCACAATATGCTAGGAATGAGCCAGGCAAGCAGAGTTACAGCAAATGAAACAGGAGCAGACAAAAAGAAGCTCCCTGTCCTCCTCCATTGATGTCCTCAGTCCTGTCAATGCTGTATCTGAAGCCACTAGATCTCACCACAGGCAGTTAACACTACCCAAAATGTCTACTCTAGTCTTGCTTTAAACACAGGATGAATAAAAGGATGTTTCACTGGGACAGTTCCCCCACAAGGCTTAGTCTCTTTATCTTTCCTCAACTGAGAATGTTTCTTCTCTTAGTGATTACTGATCTGTGCTCCTCAAATTCCTTGGCATAGTGGGATCTGGTGTCCCTCTTCCTCTCTAGCCTGTTTATTTTAGTTCCTTCCTCTATTTGCACCTCCTCATACAGACCTTCCACCTCTAGGAATGATAAAAGGAACACTTTCAGGGATGGAGAGGATAATGACTGGCATCCTGTTTATTGGGCCTCCTCTGTGGAGGTCCCTTAGGCCCTTCATGGAACTTTTGTGTTCTCCAAGTGATTCTGCCCTGCCCTGCCTGAGCTTCTGTGCACATGTCTCCTGGCAGCACTGGGGAAGGAAGGCATTGGTTATGGCAGAAGACAGGGTAGTTAAGATGCTTACCAATATTCCAAAGTTCTCCTGAGCCTCACATTCCCAAACCCAATTTATACCTATGTAAGTGGCAAATGTTGAGTTGGTAAGTTTAGGTGCTATGCCTTGGTATAGTCTACCAAGGGCACATGTCCACAACAGGCTCACAACAATACAAAGGAATTGTCACAGAAAAAAATCAAAGTGGAGTAGTGTTGGTTTAGGGCACTTAAAAGGGAACTGAGAGGCATTGTTAAATCAGGTTTTGGACACACCCACAGCTGAACTTTTGAATGGAACTGTCTGTACATACCCTTCTGGGTACAGGCTGACCTTGAATTGGGCTAAACTGCAAAAGTTCTGGAAGGAAATTCAATAGCTTTCATAACCATTTGTGAAACCATTCTTCTTACTTCCTGAGACTGTGTTCTAATCCTTTTCTTATAAAACAGTTTGACTTTTAGGACACAAATCACTATTCTTGATGCAGTTTAAGGTATAAAACAGCATCATCTCATAAGATGTTGGACATTTTCAAGGCTGCTTGAATTGTCTCCAAGTATTACAATCTGAATAAGCCCAAATACATTTCTTCTTTTTCTTGACCAAATTGATTTTACCCTGGTTGAGAGAATGCATGTGTAACTGAAGTATGATGTCAGGAAATAACATCCTGGCAAGAGGAGGGATGCTGCCTGAAAAAGAAATAGTCCTAGGACCCAGCCTTAGAGGATGGTGAAGCAGAAGACAGAAAGAGGAGGAAGCAGCACTTCCTGAAGGAACAATGTATGTAAAGAGATGATTGAAAGGAGGTGGGGTATTTGGAGGACAGCACGAAGTTCAAAGGGGAAAAAATAAGAGATGGGTCTGGTGGGTAGGCTGTGGGCAGATGGGAACAACTGCTCTAGGGACTTCTGCATTTTTCTGAAAGGGTACATGAAACCATCAAGTTTGTTTTGTTTTTTTGTCCTAATCTATGCTTGCTAGGCAGATGCTCTGTGGCTTGAGTTATGCCTCCATCCTGAGTTCTATTTTTTTTATAAATGTTTTTAAGCATACTTTCCCATTCTTCCTATTTTCTTTGAAGCTTCACTTGCATTTAGCCTTGTCCTTTTCATGTTTTTTAATTAAATGAATAAGATGTAATTATTATTTTATTAGCCAGAAGACTTTTAATCTTTTCCTCTCTAGACTTAGGTGTCTGTGAAGAGTAGACTATTCCATACATGTATATGTGTATATGTGTATGTGTATTCTCTTGTGACATAATATGCAATGAATATAAACTAAGTCACCTATAGTATTCTTACAAAGTAAAAGTTTCTTTTATTAAACCATTATAGAATTAACAAATGCTACAATAAACTTAAGACTGACAACCTCTTTAAATGGAAACAGCTCTAGTAAAATTGGTTTAAATCCTTCTGAGTTACTTGAATGGCAGTTTTTCAAAGTTTGGTGTCAGTGATAAAGCCTTATGAAATAAAATTTCCTTTGGCCATAATAATAACTGCTGTTTTTAAAAATGAAAATCTTGTTACCATGGATATCTTTGCCACAGTGGAGAGAAACTATAGCACAAAACAAGAATCCTTGGAAAAGAACAACAAAGTTTCATGCATGGCCAAGTTTCCCACCCCAAGGACAGGACAGCTGTCACTATTACCCAGTGAGTGAGACAGAGAAGACAAAATGAGACATGCTGAAGGACACATGCCACAAGCCCCCCGAAGTCAAGCACATCACACCCAGGCAGGCCACACTCACATAGAACTCTAGCAGGGCCTTGGGGTTCAGGCTGAGGGAGGGCAGGTCACTGACAGAGCGGCTGCGGTGCAGCTTGGCAAAGAAAGTGTCTCTCAAGGCACTCAAGACAGACAGCCGCATGGGCCTGTCTGGTGAAGGAAGCAACCACCTCTTCAGAAGTCAAGGCAAGATGGGGGAGTTAGTGGAAAGAAGCAGGTTACCAGGTTTCGTTAGCTTTTTAGCAAGCCTTTCTAGTGAAGACAAGGAGGACATTACTTATATCTGCTGTTTAAAAAGACTAATCTTAGAGAATGCTCAGAAAAAGTCTACGTGATTATAGCAATAGGAAAGGCAGAGAGGGGGAGAGGAGACAGCAAGCTCACCTTCTGGATGCACAGAGCCAATGGCATCTTGGAAATGTGGTTTCCTTAGTCACCACAGGATTAGGGTGACTTTTATGCATTGTATTATTAGGAATTCTTGATAACCTCTAACACTAGCTGGTAACATTTCAAATGCTGAGTGCAGGCTCATCTTTTCTACTCCAAAAATCACACTGGACTTACAAAGAAAGCATGATCTTTGAAGACAGGTGTTTCCGGGCTGCCCTGGCTATACATGGACATCCTCCTCTGGAGAGCTGCCGCCTTGTTCCCAGCACCGGAGGATGGCGTTGTGTCTTCCACATCAAAGGGACTGCAAAACAATAGGTCCCCCGGTAGACATAGCTGTTAAAATCATCTGTAAACACCAGCCCACAGACCAAGAAAACACCTCATTATACTAAAGTCAATTTAAATAACTGGCAGTAGGGCTAGCTTGAACCAAACTGGTTTGTCAGAAAATAAACTGAGGAAAAAGCAAGTAGAGAAGACTGAATCTAGACCTGTCTGAGACAACAGATTATCTAATTTTAAGCACAATTTATCTATATGCACAAATGTGTCTGTTTTCACATGAATATTAGAAATATAAACATATCAGTGCTGGCTCCAACATAAGACACTGGAAAAGTGGGTAAAAATTCTCTGAGCTTTGTAGGGCTAGACACTTGAACAATACAAGCAATTAGCAGATTATTGTTCACTTCTAAAGAAAACACTCAAAAATAGAATCATATTGATTTCAGTTGCTAGTCTCCTTTGTGATTGAGAAGAGAATAACAGTCTGTTCACAATGGTGCTGTTCATTGTCTTGACATCTGATTCATCCAGCAAGAATGATGTTGGTTTGTGAGGCTGATGACCACAGACTATGAGCAGGCAAAGGGTGCTGACACTACTTCAGTGGCAAGGCAATGGGATCTTTACTGCTTCCACACCTGGCTCTTCATTTGTCAAGGAGGCCCTGATTGTAAATATCAACATGTCATATTTACTTAGCAATGTACTGGGGGCATAATATCAAGTGTGGCTAACTTATCATGATTTTGTTATGGGGTGACATTGGAAAACTACTTTCATATTCCTACAAAGGATGTCTTTTGACCTTTGGAAATATTCTATTTCAGTATATGGAGTATACAGAGACTAAGATATTCACAATTGTCCAAAGCAAAAGTATATGAAATAAAAGAGTGATAAGCAATTAAAGCCCTGGCTCTTCATTTGTCAAGGAGGCCCTGATTGTAAAATATCAACAATGTCATTAGTGTTAACTGGTAGCGATGGTACTCTGGGGGCATACATAATAATATCAAGTGCTGGGCTAAACTTATGCCATTGAATTTTGGTTAGATGGGGTGACCATTGGAAAACTACTTTCATATTCCTAATCAAAAGGAATGTCTTTTGACCTTTGGAAATATTCTATTTCAGTATATGGAGTATACAGAGACTAAGATATTCACAATTGTCCAAAGCAAAGTATATGAAATAAAAGAGTGATAAGCTCATTATTGGACAATCATTTTCTTTCATGAGAGACATTTGAGAGACATTTCTTTATATCTGTATAATTAAATGTAGAGAGGGAAGAAAGCAGAATAAAATATTTAAAAGGAGAAAGTAGAAGAGGAGAGTACTGAAAATGAGCTGGACTTGTCCAGCTGTGACATATACACATATCACCTGGTAAGTCTGTTTAACAGATTCCAGGGCCTGAGAGATTCTGAGGCAGGTGGTCTATTGTGGCCGAAGTCTGCTGATACAACAATCTTCTTGCTGTCGCTGGTGGGCCATATGTCAACTTTGATTAGCACTAACCAGGAGCATGGGTTTCCACATGATGAACTTAAAAAGGCAACTTACTACCAGGTGATTTCCAGGTTCAGTTTGATGGTACCAAGGTCATTGATGTCAACAGCTACCACCTGAGGGTGGGCTGCAAACAGCTCTTTGGTCTCACAGGTCACACTGCCCACCAGGATGTGAGTCGCTAGCCCTTTGAGCTCAGTGACCTGATAGAGTGAGAAGAGAAAGGGGGGTGTTCTTTTTCTTTTTTCTTAAGTCAGTTGGTCAGTTCTTTTAGAAACACACCTGAAATCAGAAGTGGGAATTTCAAAAGCCCAGCTTATAGTTACTTGCTGGTTCTCAACATGAGAGCAACTCTCTTTGTCAGGGACTTGTAAAAGAGAGTCTGCGCAGAGGGGCAGTCAGAAGTTATGGGAAAAGGTCCCCATCACAGCACTGGAAAAGACAACAAAAGGCAAGGACAACATTGTACCTTGATGGAAATGAACCCAACTATGAGGGGCAGGAAAACTGTCTCTTCTCCATCCCAGCTCTGTTTGCCATTGACTTCTATTTTGCCTTTCAGTTTCCATCTCTGCCGACCATACTTCATGAAAATCTAGAGCAAAGACAGCAGACAACCCTCATGTTCCATGGCCCCCACATCCCCTTCCCAAATACCAAGATCAGAGGGAGAGGAAATAATGCAACTGTCGCTCCTCCCCTTTCTGCCATCCTTACTCCACCTACATAGTCTGGATTCTTGGTAGAGCTGATGATGAGTGGGGAGGAGACATTTAAGTAGAAGTAACAGCTGATTCTCTAAGATAGAGGGTGCCAAGGTTTTCATCAGTAAGGTCATTGCACGGGGCCCTTCTGCTCACTCATGTGAAACACTTCTTTCTCTTGTTAGTAATACATCAATAGTACAGTCTTTGAGACAAATTCTCCTAAGGCTGTGGCTCAGTTAGAGAGATGAGAAACCATCACTGAAAACTACTTCACAGTCTGTGCAAGAAATAAAGACATCTCCCTCTGTATGAGACAGCTGGACACGGATTTTGAAACCATACATACCCTAGGGAGAGGGTGTGCAGTCTGTCCTTGGCCAGATGGCTTTAATGGTTATAGAGGATTGAGAGGAGACAGATGAAATTATTATGCATGTTCCCTTTTGAAGGGGGAACAGATAAAAGGCCTTTTTACTCAGTGGAGTACATTTTTATAAAGAAAGATCTACATGTTATTATTCTCAGTCTTGGTTCTTAGGATCAGTCATGATCCTGGATTAGATTTTGGATTCGAAAGAGAAACTACTACAAAGTAAAGTTTGGGGACTTGGCATTTTATGACTGGAGACTGTGTAACAATTGACCTTAAATAAATGCCAAGATTAAATTTTCTGGTGTTGAGAATTGTGCAATACTTATATGAAAAAATATCCTTCCAATCTTGGGAGGAAAAACTTAGGAGAGAAGGGTCATGACATTTGAATCTTATTCTAAAATAGTTTAGCAAAATAATAACATGATGGTAACAACAATAACGGAGCAAGTGTAGCATGATGTTAGAGAGTGGTGAGTGTAGGTGAAGGGTATAGGGATGTTTTGTATTAATCTCCAAGCTTTCTCATTAGCTTAAAGTGTTTTAGAAAACAAAGGCAACTTGAGCAAAATAATGACAACTGGCCCCTGCCCTTCAAGTCCTCAATCTCAACACCTAGACTGCCACACTACTTACTTCATACTGATCTCCAGGACAGAGGCGAGCAAAGCCAGCCAGACCTGTAAGCAAGCAATTCAGATGTGAGGTACAGAACACATTCTTCTTATTTAGATGTACAAATAGGCACATTCAAAAATTCAAGTAAAGTGTCAAACTTTGGGGGAAAACTCAACATTTTGGGGGACCATCTATAGAGAAGAGCTTTTTTGGGAATTCCATCTATCAAGGCTAGAGAGCACACTCCTTGATGGGGTGATGAGTTTCTGGACAGGGGAGGCTGTTTGAGGTTGAACTAGAGCTCTGTGTACCTTTGGGAGATTCCAAAGTCAGGGTATGAGGGTCAGAAAGGTATATTCATTAATTTTCCTTGAAAATCAACTGGTCTCTCGTCTTCACTTATCATAAGATTTGTGATTTCTAAGCACTTCCCATTTGGGTTAAGATTCTATGTACTCACTCCCATTGCCTCCCTCTAATCCACTCATTCATTCTTTGCCAGCATCTACTGTGTTATGAAATTTCTGGAAATGGATTATCATTTATACAATAATAGTGATTAAGAAACAAAATCAAACCAACCAACTAACTGACAACAACCCATAGCTCCCAAAGGAAAATGTGGTTTCTTTCTTCTCCTTTCTAGTAATTCATTTCTAAATGGACCTGCTCAATTTGAGATCTGGCATAATATCTATCTGGTACAATAGCAAAAAAAAAAAATCTGGATAGACTAGTTGGCTATCATCTTGGAATGTCTCAGAAACCCTGTGTTTGATTAGTCTTTTATCTTTCCTTCCACAGATATGGTTTTTGAAAGCCCACTGTGTATGAAGGTCTATGCTAGGCATTGGGTAATAATCTGGAAATTAGAAACAATTTCACAGGTACCCATAGTATAGAAAAAAATATGGCTAAATCCCACAGGAATAAAACAGACAAGGACCTGTAGGTAGTTAGGTGCAGTTAAAACTGAGATTCCTTTTTGTTCTATCTACCAGCTAGCCTACTTTAGATAATTTATTTCTTCACTTTTAAAATAGGAAGAACAATAACTGCCTCAAAGACTGTCTCTAAGGACAATAGATGACATCTGGCACACAGTAGGTATATAGGTGTTTAGTACATGGTAATGACTATATATCCAGAAGTGAGATAATACATGCACTGAGATCATGCCACATATATTCACTTAAAAGACATGTGAAAAGAAATAGCAAGTTAGTGTCCATCAAGGAGGGAAAGAGCAATGGAGAGACAGAGAAAGGAGATCTTTGCTTTTTTCTGCATTTGCATTTTTATGAGAATGCATTCGTATGTAGTTGAAAGAGAGAGAGAGAGAGAGAGAGAGAGAGAGAGAGAGAGAGAGAGAGAGAGAGAGAGAGAGATTCATTTAATGTAGGATAGTCCCATGGAGTCAAGTAGCATCTGAATAAAAGAACTTTATCACAGTAAAAGGAAGACATTGCAATAGGCTGCCAGGCTGAACAAATGGATTGTATAAATGCAAAACATTTCTTTTCCTTTTTTCTTTTTCAGTGTTGGAGATAGAACCTGGGGAATCACACACTTTACCACTGAACTACACCTCCAACTCCTCAACAACCTTTTTTTTTCTGGTTGTTGTTTTGAGACGGGTCTCACATACAAAGACATCAAAATAACAAACTCATCTCTTGGCTGTCAGCCAAGAGAGAACCTTTGGGTTCTGGGTTTTAATATTAAACATGATTTTACCTACGTAAAGATAATGGGGATGGTGTCACACAATGTGTTTTGTCTTCTATGGATAGCCCATCAAGTTGAGAAACTTCTTTTTGTGGTTCTGGGATTGAAACCACTGCTTTCGGACCAGCCGTGGTTCTGGGATTGAAACTAGGGCCTTGCACATGCTAGGCAAGTGCTCTACTACTGATTTACATCCGTAGTCCTGGTTGTGAGACTCTTGAGTGAACAAATTTCCTTCCTACCAGCCACAGGGGCATGCATGGCTATGGTTTCCAGGGAAACTTCAAAAAGAACCTCTGTTACCATCAGCGGTCAGTAGATGGCAGCAACTCACCAGTTTGGCACACTTTCTGTACACTGCGCTAGTCCATTTAAAAACAGCTTTCACTGATAATTAGAACATAACAAGCCACTTAAGAGGACTTACTGAAATGAGAGCAGAATTAACCGTATTTTAACTAATAATTCTGGAGCATTTAGTCCTTTCAAGAAATACTTCTGAAAGCAAGCATAATTGGATAGCTTTTATAAATCCAAAGTTTGATATGCTAATTCTAATAAAATCCCAAATACTCTTTAAAATCCTGCAAATTAGTTTGAAATTAATCCATTGCCTGTTTACCTGTGAAGTTACAACAAAGACTGGTAAAAAAGAAACTGACCTGGTACCTTGCTAGATAAGGTGAATAAAGGGGAAAATCCTTTGAAGGCTCTTTTTTTCCCTTTTCAACATTACTAGAAGTTTCATACCTGAAGAACTTAACTGAATATGAAAGTAGTACATGGTAGTGATGTGTTTTTGAGCTTCTCAATCCAAGTTATTGAAGCAATATTTTTTTTTTTTTGGGAATTGCTTATAGTGCGGTCACAGATACTTTTGATTACAGCAATAGTGTAGCAAAATGGCAATAGCCAGGCAAAAGTAATTCTGGTCTTGGGCTTCTAGAAGCTCTGACTGCTTGTGACAGTGCTCATGGTACTTGTCACAGAATCAGCACTGTCACTGGGGCAATGTAGTTACAGTCTGACTTTGAGACGTGGCAGGATTCTTTCGGCTCTGCTCTGGAGCCTGCTGGCATCTCCACAGTTGGGGAAAGCTGAATGTTTTCTCAGCAGCTTTGTGATTACTGTTGCACCGTCTAAGAAGTTTTCATTATGGCCACCCTGGGATAACCATCCTGGGGGTGACCTCCAAGGGATGAACATGGGCACACTTGGAGGTCAGGAACATTTGTACCCATGGTGCATCTTTCTTGTGTGTTTTATTGCTCACGTTGACATAATGGCTTTTCCACAGCCTGAACTGTAAGGCCCAGTGCTAGCTACCCCATGCAGCCACTCACTCTTGCCTTCCTTTGCCAGACACCACTCTGGTAGAAGAACGCTTTCTACCATTTTGCTTCCCAGTTCTATCATGATCTTCCTTCCTAAAAGTCACACTTTCTACTCTAAGGAAAACTGCCACGTAGCTGACAGTCTGGGGATCCTATTCCAGGCCTTACTGAATTTATTTACCAGGCATAAATTAAAGATTGCCACTTTCCTAGCTCACTGGAGGCCTGACAAGCCCTAAAAGCTGTAGGTGACCTACCACTGACTTCTGGATATACATGTATCTGGAACTTAATTTGAGTGAAGTACTAATCGAGAAGAAAATCAGTTTTCCTTAAGAGACCTTATTTCTGAACATTCCTGGTTCTAAAGTCACTAATCTAGTGTTCTCTTTACCTGGACATTTGTGGCTTTTCAGAACCTGGCTCCAAAGAATTTTCTACAACTTTTCTTTCAACCACTTTGATCATACCAATCTACCTGGTATTTTTGGATGTACTTCCCTATCTCTCATTTGTTTTCTCTCTTTTTCTTTCTTTCTTTCTTTCTCTTTCCTATTCCTTCCTTTCTTCTTTCTTTCTCTCTCTTCCTTCCTTCTCTTTTCTTTCTTTCTTTCCCTCCTCCTTCCCTTTTTTTTTTTTGAGACAAGGTCTCCCTATGTAACTCAGACCTGACCTTGAACTCTTAGCCCTCCCTATCCCTCAGTGTTCAACCTCCTCCCTTTTGCCCCCTCCACCTTCTACAGCAACTTGGTCATGTTATTAGTTTAGTTGATCATTTATTCCATCAAGTTGTAATGCTCACATGTCCATTTTCTCTAGTAGTTTGTGTGGAGTTGAGGGCAGAGACCATTAGTCAGGAGGCAGCCTAGTGCCTGGTCAAGGGCAGGTGTTCACTAAGCGCTTGCTCCATTGTCTTTATCATCAACCCCCCCATGGTTGTTGGCTATGTGTTGGGGGTGGGGCAAAAAGGGAAGTGTGAAGGGTGTGACAGGAGGAAGTTAGGGTTGCCTGGTTTGAGAATGTTATGAAATAGTCTCATTTGTCAATGCGTGTGTTGGGGGTGGTTGTTTTTACCAGAATGAGTGACAGAAAAGAAAGAAGCAAATGGCAGAGATCTAACATTTCTTGGCAGAATGAGAGGGCTTTCTATTCCTTTTCTGGAGGGGGAGGAGGATTTCCATGGGGGTGTGACCCTTGAAAGGCTTCACAGATGTAGTTTCTGAGTTTCCATATTAGATTAGTAAAGTGGAGATGCAGAAGTCTACTAGTGAAAAAGGAGGATCAGTTTCATGTCTAAGAGATGCCCTGGGAGGAACCCTGCATGCAGGTGGAAGCTAAGGAAACATATGAGGAAAGGGAGATCAACAGAGAAAGGGGGAGGTAGGAGAGCAGAATAGGGGCTGCTGATAGAATCATCCTTAAAAGTTAAAAAAAAAATTCTCTAGGACTCTATCCTAGCTGTATAGACTGGAATTTGCTGGAAGGTGGGCAACCTGACTCATTTTAAACCTTTGAGTGGGGACCCAAAATGAAGAGAATGAACCTAAAAAACTGGAAAAGTCCAGATGCCCAACACAATAGGAAAGTAAGTGTCGAGAGATTTAACACTGAATAACTAACTGATTTGCTACCAGATCTCCTGGAGGAAAAGGCAGCCATTTGGGAAGCTGAGGGTTCAGGTTGGTCTTTGTTCCAGGTATACTGTCAGAGGCTCTCACGTGTCCTGTGCAGCACAGAATAATTTCCCTCCTGAGACAGATGATGCATTTGGAAATGAAGATCTCCTGTTGAGACCCTTTGAAAAAAACTCTCCCTTCTTAACTCCCTTAATTGCAGAAAGTAGACAAGAGGGTGATTAAATTCCCATTAGCAACTCAGGGATCAAGCTGCTAAGGGAAAAGGAATGTTCCAGCACCAGCCCTGTTGGCTGCAGTCAAATGGCCAGAACTTGGGAGAGAAATGGACTTGCTGTCATGGCAGCTTATTTGACAGCTCACCTAGATGCTGAGGTGCAAGTCTGACAACACCTGGGCCAAACTCCATTGTTTAAAACCAAACTTTCTTTTTGTTCTAAAGATGCTGTTGTCAAAATGAACAATGCTTCTAGATTGGAACATTTTGGAATAAACACCACAAAGTCACAATTATATTTGTGGGTTTAACACCAAAATAAAAAGTTGGTAGCTTACAAAAACTTGGGGATTTTTGTCAATCATTTAAATGACAGCACCAAGAGACCAACAGACAACTCCAGAATATAGGCCATTCTGCACCACAGTGGTTTATATAACACACAAATCAAAGGTAGGAAAATGAGAGAGAAGTTCATTTTAGATTAAAGGTATGACTAACAATTAATTATAATGCATGGACTGTGTATCCTAACTTAAGCAAATCAACTGCACAAAGCATTTTTGAGACAACTGGGAAATTTTGATAATGAAATAGGTTAATAACAAAGGCTTGTTATTTTGTTAGATGTGATAATGTGACATGACTCTGGCACTGAAGTTATATAAGAAGATGGCCCTATTATTTAAGAGATGCATACTGAAGTACACAGGGCAGGGTGACATATTTGGGTTCTATTTCATCAAAGACTTCTTTTTCATCAAAAACAGATGAAGCAAATACAGCTACATCTTGCTAATTATTAAATCTAGGTGATAGATTTATGAAGGCTCATTGTACTGTTCTCTCTACTTCTGTGTATATTTGAGATTATCTCATAATATATTTTTTAAGTGTGAAGGCAAGGCTAAACATGAGAAGTATACATAAATGGAGGTCTTGAGAGTGAGTGCTACTGTGTCTTTGTAAAGGAAACGAAAACAGCGTGTGCTTTCAAACTTGAGACTTCTGCCAAAATGGCTCTTTATCTGAACAGGGGAAAAATTACCTTTCATCTTGATGGAGAATTCCCCGAGCAGATTCTCCAGTTCCGCTTCAATGGTGCACATATTCTGTGAAGAACACAGGAGATGGCATTAGAGCTAGTCTTCCTTCACACAGCAGCTCAAAGCACATGACACATACATTGCAACAGCAACCACTGCAGTAGAAGGCACTTACTGGTTTGCAATGAGTCGCACAGCACAGCCTTTGAGACATTCTTGACAAAATATTTAACCTGAGGCTATGCAAGACTTCCAGTGTATAGGATGTTTAGAGCATAGATGAACAGGTATCAAAAGCGTTCAGACAAACCAAGAATGTGGTATATTCTATGAGAACTGTGCTGGACTCTACAAAAAATCAGTTTTAGGGGGGAAAGCTGGATAAAGAGACAAAACAACCAGATGCAACACCTTATCTTTGCTTATGTCATTATTTGAAAGAAAAACAAGTAAATTACAAGTTGTAAAAGCAATATTGGCCCAAACAGGGGAAACCTGAAAGTGGACAAGATATGTAATTCTATAGGATGACTGTTCATTTTTTCGTTGTGACAATGGTATTCGTCTATGCTAAAGATGCACCCGTTACATAGATTACTACTAAGAGATTGGGTCCATATGTTAAACAGCCTAAGTCAGCCATTCTGTAGTACATACATATATTATTTATTTATTTATTTATTTTTGTGGTACTGGGGTTTGAACTCAGCACCTACATCTTGAACCACTCCACCAGCCCTTCTTTTGTGAGGGGTTTTTTTCAAGATAGGGTCTCATGAGCTATTTTCCCAGGCTGGTTTTCAACTGCAATCCTCCTGATCTCTGCTTCCTGAGTAGCTAGGATTATAGCCATGAACCATTGAAGCCTGGCTGTGTATACATACTTTAGAATGTCATATTATTCACCATAAATATGTGCAATTTTTACTGATCAATTGAAAAAAAAATTTAAAAGAGAGATCCATGCTAAAACACTTATGAGGTGAAATGTCATTATGTCTACCACTTACTGTCAAATGACTTGGAAGACTGACCTTATGAGAGGGAAAGTGAATGTGGCAAAATGTTACAAAATTGGTAAATCTAGGTAAAAGTGTATGGTATTCCATGTAGTAGTCTTTAAAACTTTTCTGTAAGCTTGGAATTTTTCTTAATAAAAATTTGGGATAAAGAACACAGGAGTTCAACCTGTTCAGGCAAGATAGACTTCATTCTGCCATGGCACCACAAAAATGATTGCTGGGTCTGACAAGGGTCCGCTCCTCACTCTAATGTTGAAAGAGTGATTGTTGCTCTTTCTTTCTCATTCTAAAAGAAGAAAGAGCAACACGGTGCATGTGAGTACATACGTGACTATCCCCATCCTCCCGCCCTGGTATCTGAAGACCTGGTTAGAGTGGTAGAGGATAGAAATCAAGGAAAAATGCTGTAGCCAGCAGCCATCTGCAGTGAGGACCTTCTGTGGCTGGGCCAGTGTAAGATTTGGATGCTGCCTTGATTATATAAGCATTGGTCTCTGTCAGCTGGCTTCTGCTTCAGTAGCCAGCCTCCATCAAGGCTGGGTGTTTGAGAGTGGCCATTATAACAAAAGTGTGGCCACTCAGTGAGAGCTGATAGGTATTGCTTCCATTTGAATTTTGCAGACTGAGGAATCCAGAATGGATTTGTAAGTCCAGGGGTTGATTCTTATTTGTTCTGCTCCAAGTGATCACTTTGTGGGATGCAAAGAGAATAGCACTGTCTGTTCCCTGCTATGTTCTCACTGCCTTAGATAGCTTAGCAAAGCTGGGAAGCATTTCCTGAAGTTTGAGCTCTGAACAGCTTGAAAGTTTAGAAAACAAAATCACTTGTAAGCTAACTGACTTTCTTAGAACATTAGGCCTCTCTGAGAAGGAACATTTTTGAGAAATACCAACTATGTTATCAGGCATGTCAGGATTGCTGCCATTGTCTTTGAAAAACTTAGGGACAGCTAGGTTAACAGCTGGAAGACTCCTATGGTCAAATGTCCTTTCGTCTCACCTATGCAGCCAGTGACGTACGTTATTACATATGCAAAAGTATTCTGAACCTTCCTTGCCCTAAAGATTCCCTGTGAGAAAATCCTGGCTTTTATGGTTTCGTGCCCATACAAAACCACCTGATGTAAAGGGAGGTATGAAGCTACAGAAGTCCTGACTTCTCTCTTCTCGAAAGCAGCCTTTCTTCTTACTGACACTGCACCGCACTCTTGAATTTGTGAGCAAAGTCATGATGCCACGGTCTGGCACTTGTCCAAGGGTTGCTATTTCTGCAACGACCTACAAGTGTCCCAGGATAGGCAGCTTCTGCAGGCTGCTGGTCAGTTATCTGCTTGTGTGCTATGAACAGACTCTATAATTGGAAACTGCTTTTGACCCCCCACAGAGATCTGGAGAAATGAAGCCTCATGAACTAAGACTGATTCTAAGCCAGGTGTTCTCAAACTTTGGGTTCACACTTTTGGATATGGGGAAGGGGGTGGAGAAGAGTCACGTCTTCATTTTAATTAACCTCTACCTGAAATTTAATTTGCCAACTTCCCATATTTTTGAGATAGGGTCTAGCTATGTAACTCTGGCTGTCCCTGAACTTGAGATCCTCCTGTCTCAGCCTCCCAAGTGCTGGGATTACAGGTGTGCACACCATACCAAATTTATATATCCTGAATGTAGAAAACAGGCAGCAGCAATATCATTAATGTCTATGACTCTGACATTGACAACAGTCACATATAAGCTCATGTAGCATCATTTGTTATAGATAACTTTATAATTTATCTTTTACACTGCTCTGAAAATTTAGTAGTTATTAGAGTTACTGCTAGATCTTGTAATTGGTGCTACAGCTTTACTAGCTGTAGCATAGCACTATATCACACATTGGACTGTTAAAGTATTTTGACAAGTGTGCTGACAATATGAAATATATATATATATTTCACTATGCAGTATTTTTCCTTTGAATTCTTATTTTATACATCAAAAACATTATTCTAAAAGTGGGGGTTAGGTAAAGAGGAGCTCTGTCTTAGGTCATGAAAAGAGACAGACTTGGTTCAGACAAGAGGCTACACTGGGGCTTATTACCGAATTGATCCTGAAACAGATGCTCAGCTCTGGGAATTGTCCAACAGACCCTCATCAAGCCGCTGACTTCACTCATGATATTTGATCTCTGAATAAAGACTCAAGGGACAGTGAGAAGTGGGGCTTAATAATTTAGTCATTTCATCAAAGACACTGGTAATAGGTGACCCCAAGAGGGGTGAAGACCTCCCTTCCTGTGTCAGATACTTGGGCCCCAGAGACTGTCAGAAACCAGGAAAGCACACTTCTGTTCATGGTTCTTTATCTTGTCTCCTTTAAGATAAAATTTCTCTCACATACTAAAAATTGTACACAGGAAGGTTACTGTCATCTGGAGTAGCCATCTTAACGACAGGGTCTGCTCAACTTTCAGTGATAAACTAGACTATTTGGAAGTGCATTTAAACACTAGGGCACAGTGGTTTTTTAAAACAATTGTAATTGCCTTGCAATTTTTTTTTTGAGGTTAACAATAAAACTCATCTCTCTAGAAAGTGGAATGAGGTTGTGGGTTGCTGTTCGCCTTGTTGTTGGCAGTTACCAACAAATCAGATCAAGCCAGGTGGGGTCTAGCAACCGTGAGTTGATGAGCAGATTATACCTCTGTGTACTCTTTGTAGCTCCGATTGATCTCTGACAGACTCTCTCGGGCAGCCTTGCTGGCAGGGGATGTTGCAAAGGCTTGCTTCATTTTGCTGGCACCATCTTGTAGACGTCGTTGGATACAATAGGCTTCATAGAGTTCATCTACCTGCCAGGATCAAAACAGGAAACACAGAGATAAATATTCATCATGCTTGAAGAAGTTACACAGGTCATTGTTATGAATGTAAGGTACTTTATGGTTCTGAACTCATTGAGATAGAAATGTTACTTAGAAACCAATCATTTTTATTTTTACCACTCTCATCCATTTTCTATCTCAAAAACAGATTTCATTCTCATCTTGTTTTCAGATTTCACAAAAATGAAAATGTCTCTCTTGCATTGTTTTGAGGCTGTCACTGAAATAGTTTAAAATGACTTAGGTAGATATGCTTGTCCATGGTGGACTATGGGAGTTAGACAATGAAGACTAGTGCCTTCTAGATATGGAACAAATACTGGAAGAGGTTACAATTTTATACTGGGGTGAAAACTTTGTAGTATGCAAGGCTATTATCACTTTATTTTAAGGGGTATTGTCACAAGGTGATATTTATACATCTAGTTTCAGCATTTAAAAAAGAACTTGGATCTATTTATTGAAAGCAATTTTATTTTGGGGGTAGTGCTGGGGATGGAACTCAGGCCTCACATTTGTTAGGAAAGTATTCCGCCACCTGAATCCTATTGTTTTTAGTTTGTTTTTCAGATGGGGTCTTGTACTTTTGCCTCGGCTGGCCTTGAATTACGCTTTTCCTACTCCTCCTCCCTAGTAGCTGAGATTACAGGCATATGACACCATGCCTGACTAAAAACAATTTTTGTGAAGTCTTGGCTCAATAATAGAGGTAGAAAATGAAGTTATTAAATTGTTTTTAAAATTAAGGCAAAATGCAATTGTCAAAACCTACCAAATGAGACACTTAAGAACTGGGAACTCTTGTATATAAATCATACCATTATTTAAAAATAAATTGAAAAAGGAAAATAAACTTTTTCCTGTTAACATCTCTGTACTTATATTTCTAAATAATAATATATTCTTTAAAATAAGTAAAATATACTCTATGTTTTTGATGGCACTGGGGTTTTGAACTCAGTGTCTTGTGCTTAAAATGACTTGATCATATTTGTTTTAAAAACCTGACAATCATTTAGTACTTCTAAGGCATACTCAATCTAAGATGATTCTTAACCCCCAGGGATCTGCCAGCATATAGAATAGAAGCCAGATGCTAAACATCTTTTAATGCAGAGGACAGCCCCTTGCAACAAGGAATTATCCTAATATACCAAGAGGGCTGAAAAACCTTGCCTTATAGTTATTCCTAATGATGTTTATCTCTACAGTCTTATAACACACTAAACAAAGAGTCATTAACTATAGCAATTTTCAGGCAGATAACAAAGGACTATATGACCCATTTATTGGCAAAAGCAACAAACTTATTAGTTTGGAGAGGCAGTTTCTACCTAGAACTATTTGAAATTTTACTTTTGTATGCACTTTGTTCCCTCAGAAAGGAAGCTTACATTGTATATCTGGAAGAAAGTGAAACACAAGCAGCAATTGTTTTACTCTATGAAAGTGAATAGATGAAAAATACTGAGTTTCAGAGTTTTATTCTTTGGCTCTTCAGACAATCCTTCCACTGCTCATTAAAAATATTCCTAGCACTGATTGTAATATAACTGTCTACTTTTGCTTTCTGTATATCAGGTCAGTAACATTTAGAATGTGAACATTAGGAGACTGAAAATTATTTTCTTGTTTAAAGGATTCTTTGCTGCTATTTAGTTCAACAGTTCACTCAACTTTGCGGAGAGGAATTCCTAAACCCTGATATCTTCAGTCTTCCAGGCCAATAGATTTATCTTTGATGAAGGGGGAGGGATAAGACTCAAGGGTTGGCATATCTCCTGATAATATCTTTTGGTGAATGATTGGCATACAGTGTGTTTTCACCTGCTGAGCTTGTTAAAATGCTGAAGCCCAAGCCCCACTCTGAGTAGGTTGGGGCTGGGCTGGGAATCTGAAATTTTAAAGAAATATTGTGTATTGTCCTGATGTGGGAGATCCCCACCAAACTTTTAGAAATAGTGTTGATACCTCTTCCAGAGTGGGCCAGACAAATACCTTCCAATAGATACCATTGTTTTGTTTGTTGAGTTTGGCAGAAATATGAACAATTTAAGACTTGCCTTGGTAATAAATATCTTTGAAAGTGGGTAGCATATACATAATGTCTAACTATATATAAATCACGTTTAAATTTTAAACCCATAGATTGAATATGTGTACTTCCCTAGCTTCACTTCCCATAGTGGAGAACAAAGCTCCACATAGATGATACAGCTAGGGAGGATGTTTAGAGCTGACACTGGAACATAAAGCGTCTGACTCCTAGTGGAGAGATCTGCCCAAATACCTACACCCCTACTTGGAAGAGAGACTGATGTGTGTGAATGGGATCAGGAATTACTAATGGTTGGATTTTAACTGCTCCACAGGGAAATCTTCTCTGGTTTGCCCTAATAATTCCTGATTATTTCCAGAACAAAGAGGTAGTCCTAACATGCACACAAGGCTGGTTTAACCACTGGTGAAACATTTATAGGGTTCAGAGCTGGATGTCAGGGATGTTGAAACCATTCCATATGACAAAGTGTGGAAAGAATCAAGAACTTGAGAAAGGTCTAGGAAAGCACACAACATTGTCTTTAAATAATTAAAGGACCTTCGTGAAGGAGTTTATGGGAGCACCAGAGTGTAAAGTTAGTCACAGATGAAGCTTTTTGTAGGGTTAGCTTGATTCAATCTGATCTCTAACAACACTGCAAAGAGACTACTGCAAGCCCTCTACCAGGCATTGTACTGGCTACATGGGAAGCACTTAAATGTTGCAGAACTGAAGTAAAGCCCAAACTGTGCTAGATTATCAGACTTTTAACTCTTATTTTCCCTCTATTTGCTGCCTGTTGGAGGCTTAATAGCTAATCATTTTAGGAGTCAATTAGATAAGAAATTCTCCATGGACTTGATGCTACATTCAGGCCAATGGTGTATCGGTCAGTGACTAAGAGCTGAAAAACAGCAGCAAAGACAACAGGAACTTCAATTACCTTACTAATGTGAAACTCCAGGCGTCTCATGTATCTTTCAATTGTTTTAATTTGCTGGAATTAAAAGAAGAAGTTTGAAAAAATACAGCCATTCACAGTTCACTTAATTTCAGCTTTTGAGAATATTCTCTTTATTATCTCATTAGAAAAACTATCAGAGGGTGCAAAATATTTGTCCTTTCCTCCCATTTTTGTTTCTATTTTAGAGATGATCTAACATCAATTTGGAAAATACTTGTAAAAATATTGAATATCCTGAGAGATGAATTTGTGTTAACTCTTACAATCCTTGTGTTTACATCAAGGGAGTTCAGTTCAATGGAAGGCATTAGATTTCTGTCACAAAAGTATCATACTGGACTACATTTAAAATTTCTTCTTCATAGTATGTTTTATCTGTTCCAAATAGGCTTTTTACATGTTAGTGTCTCTGGAGTACATTTTATAATTGCTACCGGCCAAGTGGCAGATAACTGCCTGTGCATGCTCACAGACAATCATACTTGCTCATACGCCATGTCTGAATTATAAATATTATTGTTATTACATACATTTTATTTAATTGCCCTTTAAAATATCTTCAAAGAGACTATACTATGATTCAGCATTGAAGTAAAGTTATTGTGTACACAGAAAGGCGTGGAAAGAGAGCAACTTTATATAGCACTAAAAAAGAAAGAATGAAAAAAAATTATGTCAAAATAGGCCTAAAAGAACTTTGTCATAAGACTACAAATATCACATGAAAAGAAAGAACTAAGTTTAATTGGAATCATTTTTATTTTCTTAGGGGCACAAAAATTAATGTTACATTTTTGAATAAAGAATATCTTAGCTAATATTTAAAGGCAGCCCAGGTAAAGGACTCTGAACATTTGGAAAGTTTTCAAACCTATCAAAACACTGAGAAACCTTACCAACCTAGAGGCATTTCAATGGAAGTGAGCTTAAATGTTTTGTCACATCTGCAGATCTTGGCACTTATTCATCATCTTCATTAGACAAAAGCATGAGAGTTTCCAAGATTAGAAAAAAATCATTCATTCTCTGGGATTTTACTGTCCCTAAGAGGGACTCTCATCAACATCTACATAAGACATACTTTCATCTTTCAACAACACCCTAACACGCAATGATAACTTACCTTGTCTAGGTCATACAGCACACCCTAAAATAAAAAAGGAATACTTAGATTAAAACATAACTTCCCCAACAATGTTATCAATGTTTTTATGGTAGTGTAACCTGCACTGCTACATTGTGTATGAAATAGTGAATAGTGTATGAGTAGTATAAAGTTCTAATAGATTTTTTTGACATTTGTTTTGAAAGAGTAAAAACCCAGGTTATTTTAAATAGCAGGAAGAGTACTTTTGAGAGTGAGTACTTATTTGCTCTCTGTGTTTCTATAATTATACTCAGTCCTCTTGAGAGCTTTAAGATTTTCATTTGCTTTGAGCTCTCATCTCATACAGACTGAGGGGCATATGAATCCACGTTCATTTTTAGAGTTTCAAAAAATAAGTGATGTTGGGTTGGAAGTATAGCTTAGTAGTAGAGTCCACCATGTGAGAAGCTCTGTGTTTGATCCCTAGTACCTCAAAAAATAAAAACGTTTATTGCAGCACTATTCACAATAGCCAAGATATGGAAACAGCCAAGATGCCCCACTACTGACGAATGGATTAAGAAAATGTGGTACCTATACACAATGGAATTTTATGCAGCCATGAAGAAGAACGAAATGTTATCATTCGCTGGTAAATGGATGGAACTGGAGAACATCATTCTGAGTGAGGTTAGCCTGGCCCAAAAGACCAAAAATCGTATGTTCTCCCTCATATGTGGACATTAGATCAAGGGCAAACACAACAAGGGGATTGGACTTTGAGCACATGATAAAAGCGAGAGCACACAAGGGAGGGGTGAGGATAGGTAACAGACCTAAAAAACTAGCTAGCATTTGTTGCCCTTAACGCAGAGAAACTAAAGCAGATACCTTAAAAGCAACTGAGGCCAATAGGAAAAGGGGACCAGGAACTAGAGAAAAGGTGAGATCAAAAAGAATTAACCTAGAAGGTAACACCCACGCACAGGAAATTAATGTGAGTCAACTCCCCGTATAGCTATCCTTATCTCAACCAGCAAAAGCCCTTGTTCCTTCCTATTATTGCTTATACTCTCTCTACAACAAAATTAGAAATAAGGGCAAAACAGTTTCTGCTGGGTATTGAGGGTGTGGGGGGGAGAGGGAGGGGGCTGAGTGGGTGGTAAGGGAGGGGGTGGGGGCAGGGGGGAGAAATGACCCAAGCCTTGTATGCACATATGAATAATAAAAAAATTAAATAAATAAATAAACCAGCAGCCTTACTATTTAGGCAAATAAAATGGGTATTTAAGAAAAGTTCTTGAAGGGGTAATAGGCTTTTTTAAAAAGCAAGTTCATTTCCTGTGTGCTCACAATATAACAGTACAATTGGTCCTCTATCCCACACTGCCCATCTGAAGGGTTTTTATGGGATTCTGACTGAAGCCCTTGCATTGCACCACTGTTCTCCAGGGAGGAACATTTGCTGCTATTACGGACGGTCAAGGATATCCCACAGGGAGCTCCATATAGACTGGGGCAATTCCAGCATCATAGAATACATAACCATTTAACTTTGAATTATGATAAAACCTTTAACCTCAAAGTCTTTGAAAAGAAAACCAATATATATTTTGGCCCATCTCCTTAAAAAGTAATAAGGTAACAAATATTAATAAATATTTGTACCTCCTAGGACTATGTAGACTGACTCTTCCAGGGCTTTCTGATGTCTTGGAATATCAAGGTACGATGACACTCAGACATGAACAAAAATCATTTAAAATGGGGTAGGCATTGTAATACTTCCACAACCAGGTAAATTCTCACACATTCATTAAAGAACAGGAAATTCACAATACAACGTGTCATTAAGGGCTGGGGGGTGTGGCTCAAGTGGTAGAGGGTCTGCCTAGAAAGCACAGCTCCTGAGTTCAAACTCCAGTACTCCCAAAACAAAACAAAACCTGTAATCAAACTGGCCCAAGGTATCCCTTTGAACTTCCTTTCTCTCCCTGGCATCATTGACCTATTTTTCTTTTTTTTAAATTAGAGATAAAGAAAAAACTGAATTCTGAATGTACTAATAGTATGCCAGGGAAACTCCAATTTATCATTTTGCTATATTATTTGGGAGGGAGATTTAGGAGGGTTTTCAAAACAGTACCTTTTCTTGTTGACGAAGTTCATGTGCATAAACATGCTGGAAAGTGCTGAGAAGTATTAAGGAGAAAGAGTTCTCCCTTCTGAAATGCACAGCAGGATGCAGATACTACTTTGCCCCTTTGATCTGCTTTTCTTAAAAATTCCTCCCCATTGCCATCCAGTAAAAGAAGATACTAAGCCAAATCACCCACAGTGTTAACATCCTAACGACTGGGTGGTACCTACCAGGCGTGAGTTCCTTTTCATATCTTTTAACTGAGCTGTCAACTTTTCCAACTCCATCTGGTGAACCTCCAGGTACTCACTGCAAAAGTAAAACAAAGTCATCATCAACTCTCATTGTTAAGAGGAACCTGGCGCTATTGCTGACTTTTTCCTTCTGAAAGAGGGGTTAAGAGTCTCAACCTTGCTTTGTAGTTAGAGAAAAAGCTTTGTATTTTCCCAATTTTTCAACATTTCGAAAGCTCTAGCAATTGCATCTGATACTGTAAGGCTTGTCAAGAAGCAGAACCCCTGTGAGGTGACAGTCTAGAAATGAAAAACCATTGGGGAGCAAATGGGCAAAGACCCCCAGTGGGTTCAGCCTGGGGTCTGGGCTCATAGACTTCTATCTAGCTAAATAGCATACTGACTATAGATGTTTCACTAAAAGCTAGGAAAGCTTTATTCTGGCAAACAACTGCCCTGAGTATTCAGAGAGGTTTTAGTATATGCCTGTCGACCACTGTTTAAGTAAAATCTAGCACATTACTGTTTCACAGATATGGTTACTGTTACAGATATGATGTGGAATCCCAGTATATGCCACAACTTTGGGACTCATTAAAGGCTTCCCTGGCTAGTAGAAGAATAAAATAGCTATTACACAAATAATCATTTCAAAAATGATCTCAAAAAACTAGTTTTTCTCTGATTGCCCCCTCACCCCCAGCCATTTTAGAAAGAAAAAGGTTTCCTTCTTCCACAAATTGCATCATTAGGTCCAATGTTCTTACTCCAGTCCATTTTTCAAGGCCCTGTAGACCTCTTCTACTCTTTTAGGCTGAGGCTCTTTGGGAGGATTGTTATTTTTGTGACCTAAGTTGTGCATTTTCTTCAGTTTGGCCTGGGGCTTCTTGAGAGCAGAGGCATTTTCAATGAAGGAGTTACACCTGTGGAATGAAGCGAAAAGAAATTGTGAGCCTCAGGCATTTGACCAAAAAGGATTTGACCAAAGAAATGCCTTTTAAATCATCTTGAGTTCCTATTAGTGTTCTTTGGGGAAGGTAATTTGCCCTTGTATAGCAACAGAATGGAGCCATCCTGCATTTAGTTTCTTGGTACTAGATTTGTGAACTGCTAAAATCTGAAAGCTTTGCTGAGTTGAGGTAAAGCCTGGCTTCAGGTCCTGTGCATTCTGAGTGAGAATGCACTGAGAGCTCCATTAAAACCTCATGGGAAGCCAAGGATAAATGATTCTGGGTGGAAATTATGAACAAGCAGGATAGGACCCAACTAGGAAATATGCACACTTTGCAATATCAGATATAAACTTCCATTAAATTTGACTGGGATGTGAATGATATCTTTTTTGATAGAATGACATAAATATGACAAATGGATAATTCTGTATGGCATTAAAGAAAAACACGTGGAGCTGTACTGATAGTTTTTTTTAAAGTTCTACTTGTATAAAATTATGTGTAGCTATAACACAAAAATTTAATGTCTCTACTAATTGCAGAAATGCAGCTTACAGTGGTAAGATAGACACCTGATAACTTACACTCAAACTGCTGATTTGATTAGAAGACCAGAAGGCCGTACAGCTTACTGACCACTCTCACAAGATGGTGGAGCCTGCAGAGACTGACAGGTGCCTGCTGTGTCTCTCCCAGGATGGTTATTAGTATGTTCCTCTGCCACCACTCTGTGCACTAAATGAGACTAGACAGGTGAGAGCACATAAGGTCCCTTAGAGCGGGAGACATTTATGGCATCAGAAAAACTGAAGGTAAACTTTATTGCATGTTACCTTTTTACTACATGTGCTTCCTTACTTTAGATGAGAGGAAATTCCAGGGAAACTAGGGAACAAATTTTTGCAATCCCTGCCTGAATGACATCAGCTACCTGAAGTCAATCTGTGAGGCCTATAATTTCATACCAAGCACAGTTTCTGGACTCTGAATGTAGTGGAAAATGTGCTTCAAAAGGGGTGGGGGAGTTTAGGAGGGGTCTACGTATAGATGGCGAGCTTGTCCTAAATCCTCAGACATCTTTGCAGGAGGGAATCTAAATGAGAGGAAAGAAACAGTAGCACTTAGTTTTGTGTACATTATCTTTCTCATGACAGTAACATCAATACTGTGTGTGTATGTGCATGTGTGTGTTGTGTCTTGGCTAGGCTGCACGCACATAAACTGACCCTCTTTAGAACAGCAGAGCCTGAGCCTTCCTCAAGTTGCAAAACAGAAGAGAGGCACTCAGCACTTGCCTGGATCGTCGTTCCTGCAGGCCACTGAAACCCGCGAAGGACTGGCTTCTGATGATCCCATTGGGCCCTCCAGGCGAGAAGGACTGGGATCCAACCAGCATGATTTCTGGGAGTCTGGTTGGCAGTCCTGAAAGACAGTAGAAAGATCATGGCAATTGACAGGCAGGTTCAGACAGAAAACACACTGAGTTTGTGAACATTTAAAAAGTATGACACAAAGTGGAGTAAGTCATGTGGTCCCTGTCATGACAGACATGAGATACTTCTCAGATTGTTTCCTGTAGCATGTTCTTTTTAAGTCAAAGGGTTCAGTTCTCAAGTAAAAATCAAAAACAAAAACAAAAGATACTGACCTGTCTAGATCAAAATAAATATAAATGACTCAAAATTATCCATCCCTTTAGGTTTTCTTTAGGATTTTGTTTTTTGCAAGGTTCACCAAAGGTAAGAACTTTTGCAACCTTTATGTCCATCCACCAATAATTAACAACACACAAATAGGCCACTGTCAAAGTTTCAGACAGGCTATCCTGAAATTCAAAACACAGTCAGACTTGTAGGTAGAATTCTACACTTAGAAATTATAAAGCTGAAAACACAAGATTTCTTTAGAGATGAACTTACTTAAACTTGTTCTCCCTTTCTATCCTTAAGTATATTTTGAAACATAAGAGTGTACCACTACTGTGACAGTGCAACTAAGAAGGGTAGAAGGAGTACTAACAAAAGAAGTGATAATCTAGGTTAGATAAGAAGGCAAGAAAGGAAAGAAAAGACAGAAGGAGGATAAGCAGAAAGTACACAATCCTTACTTCAGTGGCTGGCTTGGCTTTTGTGAGGACTCATGCAACAATCAAAACATCGCTTTGGCTGGACACAAGCTCAAAGATAGTTTCCCCAAAGAATTGCCCTAGAACTGCTAGGTAATCCTATTCTCATTAGACCAGGCAGAATCAAAGCACATGCCATTGTCTCAGTAAGTGACTTCAGTCCTGGGGTGGGGGGTAAACTAGCAGGAAAAAGGTGAGAGCATCCATATTGACGTCTTCCAAAGTGAACAGACAACAATTGGTGTGTTTGAGATCCATCAACAATTACCCTTTAAAGACCCAATGAGAAGCTAGGCATGGCACCTTGTGGGCATGGACCCAATGAGAAGCTGGGCATAGTACCAGCTATGCTGGAGGCTGAGGTAGGAAGCCAGTCCAGGCAAAAATATGAGACCCTATCAAAAAAAAAAAAAAAGGGCTAGGGGCATGGCTCAATTAGTAGAACCTTGAGTTGAATCCTCAGTACCACTTCCTCAAAAAAGAGCTAAAAAAAGAAAGGAAAGCTAAAATATAATAGCAGCCTCCTGCCCTAGGCTGTTGCAGAATTTTCAGTCCTCTCCCTGGCCAGTAGAGAACAGCTCTGGGGTTTCTGTGTATCCTTGCTGGGGACAGGTGCTAACTCATTTATCAACTGGTGTGAGAACGAGCACTAGACTTACTCTTTGATCTGGCTGGCACAAAATCTCATTATTAGCACAAGAGAGGAAGCTTTAGTTTGGGGGCATTCACTAGAATTTTAAAAGTAATGAAGAAGTATGTGAAAGTAATATGTAGTGCGTGAATAAGTAGGCAAAGGGCAGGTACAAATAAGACTCTCTCTGGAGTCTTCACCCTAGCCCCAAGGCTCAAAAATAATCCTAATTCCTTTAATTCCTAAATGAAGTTCTGGTAAATGCTCTCTGCTGGTTACTAGGTGTCTGCAGGTTACTAGGTGTCCCTACTTCATTAAGGACGCCTGCCTGAGGCTCATGAAGCATGCCTGTGTTGTCATTGTACTCATGCAAACTTGCAATTATATCAAGATGTGGTTTACAATCTTTATGAACTCTCTCTCTTTTTTTTTTTTTTGGCCTTGCTGGCAATGGAACCCCAGCTGCACACATGCTAGACAAACACTTTACCACTGAACTACATCCCAGACCTCTACTTAATAATTATAACTAAACATCCACCTTAAAGTCTCAACTTGCAAAATTTTATTAGTACTATAACTCATTTTGTAAATTATTGTTCAATATGTCTACGGAGCCCTGGAAACTCTTTGATCAAAGAAAAAAAATTAGAGTTATTGAAAATATTTAACTGTCTGACTGTCTTTTACCTTCCTAGAAATTCCATTTTTTAACCCAAAAAGATTTTTTTCTCTTATCCATTGGATCAGTTATTTAAACTATGAATGCCTGACTTCAACTCTCAGGTATTTTGATTTAATTAATATGGGGTCTGGTCTGTGTATGGAGAGTTTAAAAAGGTCCCCAGGTGATTTGAATATTCAGTGAAATTTGGAAGTTAATGCTTTAGAAGTTTTGATTGTACAGTCAATTGCACTAGTGATGGATTAAAAAAATTAAAGAGCAAGGAGCAAAAAAGGAGCCAAGTTGGCTGAAAAATTTTAAAGTTCTGTTAATCTGCTATAATTGATCAAACTCAACTTTTAAGCATTATTCAGTCTTAAGTCGCTGTCTATGAAGTTTACGTGTGTTATTAAATGAATTAAACGCTAGAGAATAAATCACATGTCCTAGATTGTGCAATCCTCCTTCTTCCTCTTTGTCACAGGTACAAAAGGTTCTCAAAAACAAGACAAATGTTTGTTCAGGATTCTAAGATTGTAGAGTGCTTTGGGAAGGGGAAAAATCCTCAGAAAGTTTTCCTTAAATTTACAAATGGAATAGATGACCACTACGAATGTTTCTGGGGGGAGTGGTTTTAACACTCTGTTGTGTTTTTATGAACTAGAAATGACCATTATCTGTCAGAAAAGAATTTGGCGAGAGCCGACTTAGGCTGACATCCATATCCTGCCATCAGTTTCCCTGAAGGCTGACATAGGCTGCACAAGCGTCACACAAAGGCACTTGGAGAAATACAGGAGTAGTTTAGGCAGGGCAGGGCAGGAGGGATCAGAGAAAAGAGTACACCAAACATCCCTACCCCTCAGGCCTGTAATTCAGAAGGAAGGGTTCTTTGCTACTGTTTGTCCAGCTTTCCCAGTTACAGGTTCTCTCCCAACTCTCTGCTCTTATCTTTCTTCATCTTTTTGATCACCCTACTCCTATCACTTCCTGCCCTCTGACTTCAGGATGCTCTCTGGCTTCTCAGGAAGTCCTATAGCCTGCTCTCTTCCCAGCTTCCAGCAAAACTACCCCAAGAAATACTCTCAGCGAGTCTTAAGAATTTAATCTTCCCTGACAGGCTAGTCTGCATTTTAATAACAGGTGCTCCATTAAGCCAAATGCCTTAACCTAAAAAAAGGATTTGTAGATTGTGATATCACTGCTGGTAGGGGTAAATGTAGTAGGAAAGTTTTAGAACACAATTTGGCAAAATTTGCTTAAAATGTAAAAATACTTATCCATTGGTCTTTCCTCTAGAGAAATACCCAAGCACACAAGGAGGCAATATTTAGGAATGTTCTTACAGGCAATGTTTGTAATAGTGAAAAATGGGGAATGATATTAATGTTAGTCAATAGGGCCAGGTGGTGGTGTTGCTCAGTGGTGGAGTGCTTCCTATCAAACCCAAGGAAAAGACACACACACACACACACACACACACACACACAAAGTCAATACATTGTGGCATAACATAGGGTGGAATACTATGTAGCAGTTAAAAATAATATGCTGTCATAGAAAGACAGAAAGATCCCCAGGACAAACTGCAGAACATAGTAGAATAGTATGATAATCAGAATGTTAAAAACAAAATTAAACAAAACTTATTAATAATATAAATTCTGAAAGTTTATAGACAGATGATCTATGGAGAGGTAGGATTGAGTGGTAGCCAGCAACATTTTCATATTTTCTGTATTTTATTAATTCTTATAGAGGAAATGTATTCATGTATTATTTACAGATACAAAATTCTTTTTTTTTGCATTTGAAGACACTTGGAGTTGGGTCTAGATATAGTTCACATACAGTATCATAAGCTAACTGCTAGGTAACAACTTTATTCATATAGAACTATATGTAGTTTATTTATAAAAATAATGTATTAGATTTCATAAATCTTGATTATATTAGGACAATTCAGATTCTCTCATGAAATCCTTATTGAGTCCTGAGCTATTTTCATTTGCGAAACTTTTGTGAATCATACCTGCTACATATTGCTAAGGTTCATCAAAATACTGCAGCTAATAAGCAAAATATTCCACGTAAAACAACAAACTCATCTTTGGAAGCTGCTAGTTAGGATGGCTGGGCCTTTGAAAAATGTTTCGGCTCTAAGTTATTGACCCTCTCTTATCTGACAATTCCTGCAGAACTACCATTCATTTTTGTGTTAAATCCCAGACAGGTTTTAAGCCTTAGGCAAGTGGCGAAGCTCTTTGGTTTGCTCTTTGCTTTGCCTTGTTGCAGGAGGCTCTGCTGCATAGTAGGCAGCTACCTCTGCCCTGTCCTTCCCACAACCAATGAAAACAATGGGATCTTCCTGGACAGAATCCCAAACACCTTGATTAAGAGTTAAACAAACTCTACAGTTCTGTGCTGAGCCTCTTGGCACAGAAACTTGAAAGCCACAGCTGTGCCTCTTCTGGATACTTCATCCGGTAAAAACTGCTGCCTTCTCCCCACTCATGCAGTGCTAAGTTCCAATGAAATGTACACTAAAAATGAAATTGAAATGAGTAGAGATTTTACATGCTTTGTTTTGGGTACTGTGATACAGGGGCACTGGGCCTTGGAGGATGTGATGTGTCATTTCCTGGCCTAAATATCTTGGGGCTGTTTAGATCAGAAGGAAACTCACCAACTCAGCAGGCGGATTTGGGACAAGAGTACTGTGACTGGAGATGGAAGGACGAGGAGGCTGAGGCAGATACAAAAAGATAAAGGAATCAGGGGATTCCCCCCTCATCCCACCAAGTCTCACGCTGTGATTGGGCCAGAAATAACAGGTAGAACATGATTGTAATTCAGAGGGGGAAATTTTCAGTCACCTGGAGAATGTAGAATACCCTAATTCTAAAGAATAAATGAAGGGATTCAACCTTGGAGTGTTGGCTGCTTGGAGATGGGCTAGGAAGGATAGCGATCATGGAGCAGCCTATGCAGCAGGCCCCAGG